CTGCCCTGTCGTTAGGCCTAACGTTAAGCTTTGAGGTCTAACGTCATCAACTGAAACCCGCAACTAGGGCGTTGATGATGATGATGATGAGAGGACACATGACTTCAACATGCTTAGCGCCGAGCTTCGCACTCCCGGCGCCATGCCGAGCTTCACATTCTTGCCGCTGCCTCACCCTGCGGCGCAGCAGTCACCAGCGAGCCAGGGCAGTCTGCACATACTTCCTGTGGGCAGAAGTGGCCTGCTGACGCTGTGGCCGCTTCTGCTCCTCTCGGCGCCCAGGAATGCTTTCATATTCACAACTCATAAGAAGTGCTTAGGTGTCCCTGGAATTTTTTTGTTATATACAGCGCAAGTTTAGAACGGCTTCAAGTACCTTCGGACTGGCTTATGGCGAGGGTCATACCAGTGTACAAATCTGGAGATAAACCCTCAGTTGAAAATTATTGGGCCTATATTGCTTAGGTGTACCTTGCTGCAAGCTATTCGAGCTCATTGTATCTAAAGAGTTGTATACCTATCTTGAGGAATCAAAACTGTCTTTATCTAACCAACATGGCTTTCGAAAGTCGTTGTCGACTGTGGTTCAGCTCGCTGAAACTTTGCATGATTTTGCCAAATCAGTGAACCATAGAGGACAGATTGATGCGATATGTCTAGATCTGTCAAAGACTTTTGATTGGGTGCCATACGCAGAGCTTATTCAGAAGTTACTAAATCTGGGGGTGAACAAAAACATTGTTTTATGGATTAAAGCTTATCTCACAAACAGAACACAGTTTGTACAAATAAATACATCAAAATCAAGTATTGTGTGGGTACCTTCTGGAATTCCCCAGGGGGTCTGTCTTGGGACCCATTTTATTACTGTGCTATATGTAATGATGTAGCGGGAAAAATTGGTAAAATGTTACTCTCTGCTTGTTTGCAGATGGTTGCTTGATGTACTCCAATGTCTCTTGGAGTACATCTTCCTTAACCTGGTGCAAGAGTGGTGCAAGTGATGGAAAATGAAAATGAATTGCTACAAAAAAAGTGTTCTCTGTAATAACTATGTTAGGGTCTAGGGGTTTATTCTACATAAATTCACTCCACCGAGCTATTTTCCAACCGTTTGAGTCCTAATTTCCTTCTTCTCGCTCGTGTCCGGCCTGGCGCACGCTCTGCTGTCCCATCGCATTGTCCCCCGTGAGCAACAATGCCTTGATGTGCAACCCATTGGGCAGGGCATGAACTTTGTGCCCAGCACGGTGTGTGGCGCGCGAGCACCTGTGTTCTGTGCATAGCCGTCGCACGCACAGCCCGCACCCCTCACAACACCCCCCTCCTTATTCTGTGAAGGGGACCCAAGGCTTGTGGAAGAGGGCAAGCTGGTCTGCATTAGACAAACCGCATGCTCTTCCTGTGGATGTGTTCTTCAGCTTATAGACATTCTGGCCGACTCGAGCTGTAACAGTGAAGGGTCCAGATCGCTTAGGAGCAAGCTTTGCAGCAATTCCCTTGCTAACATTGCTCAGAGTATGCAAGTCTTTTAGGACCAAATCACCCACATCAAAGTGGCCTGGTTGTCGGGTCGAGTTGTATTGTCGTCGCTGAATTTCCTGGGCTTTGTTTTGGTGCGCTCTCGCAAAGGCCAGGGCATCCCGTAGGCGCTGGTCCAGTTCCGCTGCAAAGACGTGGGGTGCAGAGGACGAGGCCTCTGTGTCCTGGGCAGATGTTGAGTCCCACGGAATGCGGAGCTCTCGACCATAGCATAAGAAGGCTGGCGTGTAACCTGTCACTACACTTTCGCTGGTTCTCATGGCAAAAGCTATTTCGGGAAGTCGTTTATCCCAGTCACGATGAGCCGCACAGTATGCCATTATGGCTTGCTTGACGGTGGCATTGTGGCGTTCTACCAATTGTCCAGATGGTCGGTATGGCGTTGTGTGCCGGTCAACGATACCCCAGTGACGTAAAACACCTTTCCACAGGGCGTTCACGAAGGTTTTGCCGTTGCCACTCAAGATGCTCTGTGGAACTCCGTGCCGACAAAAAAATTCCACCATTTTGTCTACTATAGTCCTCGACGTTGGGGCACGGATGGGGAATAACTCTATGTACTTGGTAAATTTGTCGATCACAACTAGAATATGCCTGTTTTGCTTGGCTGTTGTTGGTAGGGGTCCGATCAGGTTGACACTGAGTTGCTGCATGGGCTCTGTAGCCCAAGTACTGTCCATTAGGCCTTTCGGATTTTGTCGCCGTGGCTTCAGAGTTTGGCACTGGCGGCAGGAGCGAATGTACCGAGAGATATCTGCTCTCATACCCAACCAGAAAAATTGGTCTCGGGTACGTCGCATTGTTTTAAAGAAGCCGGCGTGGGCGCTTAGTGGATGGTCGTGAGATAACCTTAAAACCAAATTACGCAAATGCGTAGGCAGCCATGGCACTCTCTTTTCTCCTTTGAGGTACAGTGCTAATCAGACTTGTCTATAACGCGCGAGCGTGCGGCTTTCTCCGGGGAGCGCTAGACTGGTGGCATTCGCAAAAACTAAGCTAGTCACGTGGCGCAACATGGAACGGCCCGCTCGAGGGGTGTCTTGCCCACTCTATCAGCTGGCGGCGAACGCGGATGGCTGCTCGCACGCTTTTTACAAACATCATTGCTCGAACAATAAACAAACTAAAGCATGAAGGCGTATCAACGATGTCGTCATCCAAAAACAAAAATATATCATAAAGCGCTTTACTTTTATCACTTATCAAGCTGATAGAGTGGGCAGGACACCCCTCGAGCGGGCCGTTCCATGTTGCGCCACGTGACTAGCGTAGTTCCTGCGAATGCCCCCAGTCTAGCGCTCCCCGGAGAAAGCCGCATGCTCGCGCGTTATAGAGAAGTGTGATTACCACTGTACATGAGTACCCCGGCGTTGTCGATCTCACTGTCACCACCAAGGTCTTGCACCTGACGTGCTTCACCGGCATCAGCCGGTAAACAGTTGTTTTTCAGGTACAAGAGTATGATACTCAATAACGGGACTTGCATTTGCTCTGCAACCAATCTGGTGCCGTCACTTAGTTGGGAGATGTCATCCTCTTGTGTCACTGCAGTCTCCTCGAAATGGATCGACTGCTCCGGTTCTTCTGCGTCGATAGGAAAGCAGTCTTCGGCGACACACTGGGAGGACGAACTGGCGGTCACCACTGGGAATCAGCTCAGTGCATCGGCAGGAATATTGGCCTTTCCTCGGCGGTGTTTGATGGTGCAGTTAAAACCCTGGAGCCGAAGAACCCATCTTCCCACCCGACTAGATGTCTGCTCAGTGCTGAACATCCATGAAAGTGATGCGTGGTCGCAGTAAATCTCTAAGTGGGTGAACTCTATATATGGACGAAACCTATCAAGTGCCCAGACGACTGCTAAGCACTCCCACTCTTGGACTGTGTAGTTTTGCTCTGCAGGGGTCAAAGTCCGGCTAATGAATGAGACGGGTCCGAGCTGTCCTTCGGTGTCTTGAAATAACACAGCGCCAATTCCCACACCACTGGCATCTGTCTCAATCACAAAGGGCTTGTTCAGGTCCGGAAGGGCAACCACTGCATTGGCTGTCAGCTGGGCTTTTAGGCAGTCAAAGGCGGCCTGTTGAGGAAGTTTCCAACTCCAGCGGACATCCTTTCTCAGCAGCAACGTAAGGGGCTTGGCCGCATCCGAGAATCGAGGAATAAATGTCCGGTAATATCCCACCAGCCCGAGAAAGGCCTGAAGCTGCTTCACTCAAGTTGGTTCTGGGAATTCTGTCACAGCTTTTACCTTTTCGGGATCTGGGCGACACTCCCCGGGAGCAATGATGTGGCCTAGAAACTTCAGGGAACGCTTACACAGCTGCACTTTGGTGGGGTTGATTGTGAGGCCTGCATTAGAGATTCGGTTCAGAACCTCTCTCATGTGCTCGATATGTTCATCAAAAGACTCGGAGTAGATGAGACTGGAACACACCTTTATGCCGTTTTGTGGATGTCTTCTATTTGTATCTTGTACTTAAATGCTTTTTTGGAAATGTAATTAGATTTGTAATTAAATAAATTTTTGACGAAGTATTTTGTATTTGTATTTCGATACATATTTGCATGTATTTTGCCAATCTCTGCTTTGATTGGAATATGCACGTGTATGATTTCTTTACTAGGTGTCAATGTGGCCAATGCGTGGTGCCCGATTTCGAACCGGGAGTGCCTTTGCTGGAGGGAAATCGGCAGTAAACTTTAAAAAAAAAAAAAATAATGTGGACGAAACGTCGCTAAACTAAATGGTATGGGATTCCATTTTTTACACCTGCGAACTCAATGTAGTCACTTTCTACAAAATGCAAGGAGCATATAAATCGGGTAGCGTCCGCTTTCCGAGGTGCCCGTAAATATTCCAAAGAATTGCAGCCAGCCATTGGTCCTGATCCTGCTGATCTTTCGGAAACTTGTGCAGACTCCACCGCACAATGCCGCTTTTGAATGCGGCACATGTGAGGCAGCTAATCACGCAACATCTTGGGGGTATTCGTTTCGGAGCCGACCATTGGAATTCACCTTGGGCACTCACTACTTATTTTCAACTCTTCAATCTACAAAACAACTCATGTTGAAGGGCAGAACAGCGAGCGGAACAAACATAGCTGCAAAGGAATCGCACGGCAAACAATTCCCGCAACATACGTCGTCTGCTGCGCGCAGCCAAAAAAAGATGGAGGGAAAAAAAGAAGCACACGGTCGGGTCTAGCCACGTGACTTCCGCCACTTACTCTCTCCTCTATACTTCTCCGACCTCCGTGCGCAAGTTTCGAGCAGTTGCGTTTTTTGGCTTTATTAAAAATATACGTGACTCTGGAGCAAAATATCAATTGGGTAGTCTTCCGAGACCATAATAAATCGCCTGGCAAAAAAATTAAAAATGCTTCTGGAGGGGGTCAGTGTCCCTTTAAGATCCCAAGTGCAAAGGAATGTGAAAGCAAATCCCCAAAACTCACTTTTGGCTTCAAATGTGCCCTGTCGAGGGCCTCCCAAAGTTCCTGATCTGTGTTGTTGTCGTGAGGATCCAAGTTATATCTGAAATAGAGATCTGGATTAGCCACTGTAGTAATTGACCAGTTATAAATTATAAAACAGCATGATGAAAGCCCCAGGGACGATAGTCAACTGGTAAAAAAAAAAGAGAGAAAAATATAAATATTAACAAATGTCTCAAATATATATGCCAGCCAAAATGTTTTTATTGAGCTTCACACAATATTTGTTCTAACTTTGATAGATACACAAAGGTGCACATAAGTTGCAAAAACATGCAAGGCCATATTTTGAAGATTTAAAAACATTTGAGCATAAGTAGTCTTTTAAGGGGGGTCACTACCCAAAAAAGTTAATATTTGAACCACTTGTCTGATTTAAATGACATTTACATGGCTTGTTTCTGTTGATGTTAAGAACATTTGTGCCAAGTTTTGTTAACCTGGGTGAAGTACAAAAAAAATTGCAAATGTTCAAAGATAAAAGTGGGCATGTCTGCATAGGAAAACTATCATTTTAAAATTACTTATACATTTGTCATTTTCATGTGTTATATATTGCTTCAGGACAGTTCAAAGCAGATAGCTATGGAGCTATATTCCTATATTATACCATCTTATATGACAAAAAAGACACATGAACATAAATACAGTTTTTTAGATTTCCATCCTTTGTCAAAAATTTTAGTTTTTGAGCATGAAAATTGACAAAAATAAAAGATACAAGCTCATAGTTATCTTCCTCTTATAATTTCACCCCAATAATCTCATTAAATTCAATCCAAGTTACGTAATAACAAAACAATAGTTTTCCTACTGTGAAATTTATGCTAAAAAGTGGAATGGAGAAAAATGCATTCAAAGTGCTCCAATGTCTACCTTTTCTTTAGCATCAGTGGACCGAAAATAATTTATAAAAAATGCACTATGCAGTGTAAACTAATGAAACTTCCTGGGAATACACTCTAGATGTTAGTGGATGTAAATATGACATTTTCCAAAATCAACTTTTTTTGCTAAATAGATTTTTTTGTGGATAGTGTCCCCCCTTAAAAGGATTAACGACAGCTATTTTTTAAAGCATATTGTTTACTGTGCAGAGCATGACCAGCCCAACGTGCAAAACACGAGGAACTGGCACCCGCTGAGAGTTTACTCACACAGTTCAATGTGCCCTATTGCTCTTGACTTTCACAGTGCAAAGGGAAGCAAGGTCCGCCATTTCATTGTGAGGGCTACAGGATATAGGTGACACATCGCTATTCAAAAGACCAATCCCAATAAGCATTACACATATGTGCACGTCACCATAACTGTAGTCTGCAAAAGGCAGGCAGTAGCGCAAAAAAGAGCTTGTGCTGTCTCGTGCTCTGCCAGTGCAGACCCGCAGAGAGGTTGTCACACGGGTGGGAAGACTATACAGTTCCCTTGACGCATGGCGACAGTGGTGGCATAGCAAAACAGGCTGCTCAGATTGGTCTATTCAAGCTAGTATAAACATCTATTAGCAACCCCTAGTTGGAACTTCTTCTTTATCTAGAGCACAACCTTATCTGTTATCTCATTGGACTACCAGAGCAGCCATACCTCACAGTTCCTTGGAAGAGTACCGGGTCCTGGGGAATGACTGCCACCGACGACCTGAGCTGGTGGAGACCCAGCTTGCTGATGTCAACACCGTCCAGCAGAATGCGGCCAGATTCAAGCTCCTGGAGTCTCATCAAGGACACCAGGAATGAGGATTTCCCTGAGAACAAGAACACTCCCACAATGTCGTTTAACTCGTGGTTTCCTGTCCATCGTGACATGATACACCAGGCTCAAAGCTGAGCTGGCGACAAATGATGAGGGGGGCACAGCTTTATAATATTTCTGTCGGATCACCAGAAGTGCACAATACACGAATTTGCCTTTTTGAGAGTCTAGACGTATAACAGTCCATCATTTTCTGCATCACTCCACCTTAGTCACAAGTGCATAAACTAGCTTAAGCTAAGCATAGTATTGCTGTCGCACAATAGGTTATATCAAGCACAGCTATAAACAGTTGATTGAACAATCGTGTTATCCAAAACAAATCGAGGTAGTTAAACCTATTGTGAGGGTGCAGACCAAGAAAGCGATGAAAAGCCACTAAACATTGGCAGTGATGTGATTGGCCTAAACCATTTTGGAGCACCTTTTGGAGCAGCCAAAACAGTGTTTTGGAGCAGCAAAAGTTTCCTTTGGCGCAGCAAAAACAGTGTCTTGGAGCAGCAAAAGCAGCTTTTGGAGCAGCTAAAACAGTGTTTCGGTGCAGAAAAAGTGGCTTTTGGAGCAGATATTCTTAGAAAAATAAATATTCGTTTTAAGTGTTCGACAAACGAAGCGCACTTTGTGTTGTGTTGTGACAGAACTCGCTGCTTGTGTTTTTACTGCTGAGACATCCCGCAAGTATACAGTGCTGTAAACGTTGCCAAGTAATTAAAAAAAAAAAAAAGAACACTTGCCACTGTTTTACTGGCTCCCGACGTGCCAGATTTTTATAAAAAATAAGCAAACGTAAAACAATGAATTGCCAACATTCCGGATGGTGCCTCTGTCGTGCAATCATGTTCACATGCATGTGCACAGGGCAACTTCGGGAGGCTTGCGGTTGCACGTGCTTCGTCGCGCGCGCGGAGACAGCGGCTGCTTAATTGAAACCGAAGCCATGCCACTCCGCTTCGTCGCCAACTGGTTCCCAAAATAGTATGCAAAATGTAACTGTCCAGCACATGGCTATAAACAGTCCAGCGGCACGTGCTTGCCAGACCGGCAGGCAAGGTACAGGCTAAACACACACAAAAAAAAAAAGAACCTGGGCGCATCGGTGTATGACATCGCGAGCCAGGGTCAAAAAGTTCTTGGAACGCTTTGTGCAACGACTCAACTCGTAACAAATAAGTTCGCTGTGCGGGTTCAGCGTGCAGACATCGTCTTCTTTGCTTTAGCTCAATTTACCAACTTTCTGTCACGGCAGATTTTTCACGTACCGGGGTACCTCTCGAGAGAAAGCCCACCGAAAGAAACCTATATAATCAATACTGAGCCAACCAGTCTTTGAGTTAAATAGGGATTTTTGTAGCAGCGTATGATGTAAACAACAACAGGAATGTCGATGCGTTTCAGTTTAGAAAGCGAGTATCTGTAGCGATGTGGGGACGGCAACACATGACGTCGCGCGACCAAGGCGACTGTGGTCGCGCGAGCGCTTCAGCTCACAAAGTAAAGGCCCGTTCACACACTTGCGACTTCTTAAGGCCGAGTTGCTTGGAACCTCTTAAAATCTTTTACAACGAGAGGACACACTGGCGCCATCTGTCGGGTAGCAGTGGAAACCTGACTGTCTCTTGTATTTTCTATTTGTCTCACGCATTATCCTATCTTTCAAGGCTCCAAAAACTTTTGTCACCGCTATAGACGACCATTTCTCACACGTAGTATGAGAAATGGTCGTCTATAACGAAATGCGGGATTCTCATACGTAGTATGAGAATCCCGCAAAACCTTCGCTCTTGTGAAATGCAGTTCCAGAGTAATCACGTAGATGGTGCCAGCGTGTTCTCTCGTCCTAAGAGATTTAAGAGACTCTAAGGAGTCGCAAGTGTGTGAATGGGCCTTAATTTTCACCGCGCAAAAACGTGGTTTTGTTTCACAGCATGACGGCATGTCCGGCGCCCGGCACACTAACGTCGGAGCGCCCGCACACACCCACGTCTATCGTTGAAATTTTTTTTAAAAAGACGCGAAACGAGATTCTTGGGACGACAAGAGCGTGAAACGCGAGACGGCGGGGAAAGCCATGCAAGACCGGATAGACGATTGATGCAGTATATGTTTTGTTGGGCGGCCGCTTGCGCTACCTAGCTCACGCGTGCTCATTTACGGTTCTCAGTTTAGTTTCATTTTTGAAAGTCGACAAAATGGTCCTTTGGCGCAAGCTTGGCGCAATTACCCATATTTTGGCAAAATGTAGAAGGATGTAGCAGGGTTAGCTCTTTGGCGCAGTTTGGCGCAATTGGCGCAGCAATCACATCACTGCATTGGCCCTCTTGCATTGTAGAGCTTACGTCCTGGCCCATAGGTGGCGCCAAGGGACAGTGCAAAGAGCTGCATAAAAAAGAAGAATGAAGCGGGAGCTATGCAGTATGTTCTGATTAGAGCAGCAGAGCATCATAGCCGAGCTCCATCGAGTGTATTTATGGGTAATAAACTTCTAAACCCTGTTACACTAACCAAGATCCATCGTTCCCGAAGCTATCTAAAAAGACACTCTGCTGCCAGACAAGTTGACCCCAGCATCTTCGCCAAGTCAAGAGTGCAAATCAGTCGAGCCGTGCTCGCAGCCCGCCCGGTCCACAAGAAAAGCAGGCAGGCGACTCACCTGCTCCGGTGCGTCCCACGAGGCCCACCTTGTGTCCCCCCCTGACACGGAAGCTGACGCTGCGCAGCACCAGGGGCAGGCCCTCCCGGTAGCGCAGGCACACCTCCTCAAACACAATTTCCCCCTTTGAAGGCCACTCCGGGGGTGCCCCACTGGTTGCCAGGTGCTGGGGGGCCTCTTCGCGCAGATCCTGCCGGGCATACAATGATCCGTGTAGTAAGGAACCGACATCTTGAAGCAACCGAGCTCATGAGCAATGTTCCGCACCTAGCCCTCCAGATGCCAAAATGAAACTTCGACACCGTGAAGGCAGTTGGAATGATGCACTACGGCAGCGCGTGATCCCTTATTACACAGGAACCATACTTTAGCACACTCAGCACAGGTGCTAATGGTTCTATCAAGCACAAACAGTGACAAAATAGATTCATTGTTCCGCGTTTCAGCATCACAGGTCCTTCTGTTCTAACCATTCTAGCTCCCGAGACCCCGTCTACGAAGAACACGGCAATGAAGGTGCGTACGGGTTAACTGTGTTGCATTCTGTACAATGAATTGAAATAAAAGATAACGAGTGAAAGCATGCATGAGAACTCACTCAGAAATGAGGTAATTACCCTGCAATATTCGTGAATCCTCTCCATCGAAGTAAGCCTTGCCGAGAGCTCAGACTTCAGCCTCATAATAAATGGTATGAAAGTGCACACCTGAAAACAAACACAAAAAAAACAATTGATCCAGACTTTGTTTATTTCATTTCTTGTGTCTTAGATGGCTACCCTAGTTGTAACTTCACATCAATCAATCCAGTCGGTTGTTTATAAATAGAGACACAAAACATATGTCCACATCAGTTGATCCAGGCTTTGTTCATTTCATTTTTTTTTGTGATTAGGTGACTGGTTGTTTATATAAAGGTGAACACAAAACATATGTATGTGACTGACACAATGCTAAACTTTACTCAGAACTTTGGGAGAAGGTGCTTGAAATGCAACGTGAAATGCTGTGCCATCTCCGTTTGTGCCTCGAAAAAAGCGCATATTATCGGGCCCTAATGAAATGCGAACAGCGAAGTACATCACTTTCAATACATGTCATGCACCTGGAGGGCCCCTGTGTCAAGCAGGGGGCCTCTAAGTGGTGCAGCATACGATTAGGTGCACCGAGAGCGCAGTACAAAGTGCAGGAAACACGTACGGAAAAGACGGAGGTGAGCACGAGTCCGGCCAGGCCAGTGGTGACCGAGCTGCGGGTGAAGACCACTATGAAGGCTGCCGCAGCCACCATGATGATGCCCACCAGCTCCATGCGCAGGGTGAACCAGCGTGACGCCAGGTGGAACACAATGTGGGCCACAGAGTGTGTGTTTACCAGCTGGTACATCCTGTACACCGGACGCAATGGGGTGTGAGGTAAGAGACGAGGCAACAATAATATAAATTTTTATTGGACAATGAAAATAAAAAAATCACGATCTCGCACAGTGAAAGGAAAAAATGCAGGCAAGCTTTTGAACTAACTCCATAATAAAAAAAAATGAGGCTGGAAAAAGACACAAAAACGGAATGGTGCACACATCATCTAAAAACACGCAGCTATTAATTTTATTTCCCATCGTCAGATTTATTCGATCAACCACCCTCCCCGAATGTAACCAACCTCCTCACAACAAGATAGGAAGGAACACAAGAAACAACATGGACTGCCACAGGGTGACCCCAAACCTCCAGCATGACCAACACAAAGGAATGCACCCTCACCACACTAACTTTTCACTGAACCTGATTCGTTATCAAAACCTTTTTATTTCTTTATTCAACAATGAGGACGGCAAACTTACAGAGTTTCTACAGCTAACAATCTGCATTGTTTCTTGCATGGTCTGTCTACCGTAAAATGCCGAGAGATGCCCTACCCCCGAAAGATAATTCACCCCTATTTTTGGATTGATTTGCTATTTTCTGTTAAACACTGAAAGATAGCCCACTCCTAGTACAGTATAGATAGACCACTTACAACGTAACCGCTTATAGTGCAGGACCGGGTATAACGCGGCTTTTTTAAACCACCGGTTCGCCTCCCATAGAACTCCATGTAATTGCATACCGCTTAAAATGCAGGCGCGCGAAGGGAAATACCGGTTATAGTGCGGTTTCTGGAGCAGCCCGCCGACCGCGCTGACTGACCCTCGCAGCGAGCACGCTTCCCTGTGCGACACTAGATAACGGCGCGAGCCGCAAGCGGCACTCGCGGGGCAAGGAGGTTGCTCGAAGAAGTGGGGAGAAGCGAAGAGAGAGGCTTCAGTTGCCGTAGCGACGGAAGGACGCACGCACGTGTCGTTCACATGCTGTGCGTCCCTCCGCTGCATTGAAATGATTGGAAACAACCGCAACAACAGACCAATCGCAGGTCGAGGAGAAGTGTTCGCGCGCGTTGCATGCCGGTCGTGGGCCGGCTGCTTCTATCCGCAAACATGGCGTCGGTTGTGAATCTTGTGATCGTCGACGTAGACGGCGTGGTGGACGCTCATCGTTCCCCGTAAAAGCGCTATCCTTGACTGTGAATTTTCGTTGTGTGTCGCTATGATAACCCAGCACATACTAGAAGGAAAGATCTACCTATTCGTGCGGCGATGTCGGCGGCACTCTCAAGACGGCAGAAACGCCCGTGTCGTCGTGTTTGTTTACTTCGACTACAATGGTGCTTTCTAAGCATTTGTGTTTTCGAACATCGCCCGGATTTCTTATTTGGAGCATTTCATGCCTGTGCTCAAGTTGAAGGTATTACTGGCGCGTACCGTATAAAGGATGCGAATTTTCGCGCGTTTTCATCACCGGAGAAAAGTGATTAGGGATACCAGTCCTGAACGCTCACAACATCCGTCTGCAACCCGCGATGCCGTTAAAAGGTTGCACCAGGGAAAAGTCGCTCATTTCTTTCAAAATGTGTGACACACTTGAGAGAAGTGTACTAGTCTGGTGAAGTAGACTTTCCTCAAACTATGCTTTGTTTTAGAGCGCACCTCTTAGGGGCCCGTTTCCAGCCTGAGCGGCGTCGCCGTCGGCGTAACCGTGCGTTGCATGCAACTCAGAGGAGATGCAACAGGTTGTATGCAACCTGAGATGCAGCAACTCAGAGGAGATGCAACAGGTTGCATGCAACCTGAGATGCAGCAACTCAGAGGAGATGCAACAGGATGCATGCAACCTGAGATGCAGCAACTCACAGGAGATGCAACAGGTTGCATGCAACAGGTCACGTGACTCCCCAGGTCACGTGACCCCCCCGGTCACGTGACTCCCCCAGGTCACGTGACCACCCCAAGGTCACGTGACCCCCCTCAGGGTCACGTGAACCCCGCCCCGAAGTCACATGACCCCCCTCAGCGTGTGTGAGCCCCTCCCCCGAGGTCACGTGACCCCCCGATGACGTCATCGTCACTGATGACGTCATCGGTGACGTAACTTATGACGTCACCGGCATCCGCATCGTCATCGTCATCGGTATCCGCATCGTCATCGTCACTGATGAGTGACATCACTGATGACGTCATCACTGACGTCACTAATGACGTCATCGGAATCGTCACGTGACCCCCCAAGGTCACGTGACCCACCCACCCCCCGTACCCTTCCCTTCTCCTCCTCAAGAGCTGCGCTCAAATTCGGCATTACAGGGAGTTGTAAACGGCTTTCACTTTTAGAGCGCAGCTCTTAGGGGCCCGTTCCCGGCTTGAGCGGCGTCAGCGTCGGCGTCGCCGTCGGCGTCGGCGTAACCAGGGTCACCTCAAGGTCATCCCAAGGTCACCCCAAGGTCACGTGACCCCCCCCAGGGTCACGTGACCCGACCCGCCGAGGTCACGTGACCTCCCCGATGACATCATCGTCACTGATGACATCACCGGCATCCGCATCGTCATCATCATCACTGATGACGTCACCAGTGACGTCACCAGTGACGTCACTGATGACGTCCCCGGCATCCGCATCGTCATCGCCATCATCACTGATGACGTCATCAGTGACGTCACTGATGACGTCACCGGCATCCGCATCGTCATCATCATTATCACGGATGACGTCATCAGTGACGTCACTGATGACGTCACTGACATCCGCATCGTCATCGTCATCATCGCTGATGACGTCATCAGTGACGTCACTGATGACGTCATCGGAATCCGCATCATCATCGTCACTGGTGACGTCATCAGTGACGTCACTGATGGCATCATCGGCATCGTCACGTGACCCCCCCCCCCAGGTCACTTGACCCCCCCCCCCCCCCCAAGTACCCTTCCCTCCTCCTCCTCAAGAGCTGCGCTCTAATTCTGTGTTACAGGGAGTTGTAAACGGCTTCCACTTTTTTTTCATCTAACATAAAATAAAATCTTTTACAAAGGTAACTTGTCTGATTGTATTTTGGCCTGAAAAATTGATGTTTTGGTTATAGCGCGGTACCGCTCACAGTGCGGATTTTCGTGACTCCTGCGACATACGTTATATACGGTCTACACTGTAATCATAACGTTGGGATCAATGATGACCTTGGCGTAAATGTGTCTAGTTAGCTATGGCGGGATAAAAGAGAACATTGTTGACTGGGAAGTTCAGAAATCTTTGCTTCATTGCCCCTTGCTGAGCTAACAAGCTTGACAGAAACATGATCTAAATATTTTTTTTTTTCAGCTTTTTTTTATTGTCCACCGAAAGTTGGCCCACTCCTTATTTTCACCCAATTTGCTCTCGATTTTAGGTGGGCTATCTCTCAGAATTTCATGTATTACATTCTTTTTCTTTTTTAGGACACTTGTTTGTTCCTAACTCGGTTTGCGCCCATTACATTCTTCAACATACTTTGCTAGCTTTGAGATTTGTGCTTTGTTTTTGATCACTCTTTTAAGCTCCAAAAGTATAGATTTAAACGGCAACAAGTTTGCCCGATGTTAATAAAAGAAACGTTCAGCTTTTCCACCCTTGTGAAGAAGGAAGACCAGCGGAGCTGTACTCGATACACTGCGCGCTTCTTCGTCGTCGTCCGTTTTTCGCACTGTTTCCTATGATGAATTCCCACCAATGCGCCCAACTATCCATTCTTCTATTATAGCTGGAAAGGTTGCCGCCATCTATGAGCGACGGCAGAAACCACACTGGTTGTGTGCTTGCCGCCGTCGCTTATAGATGGCGGTAGCTGTCCAGGTAGGTTTGTGTCGACATACACGGACACAATCTTGGGGAACCTAGCCCTTAAGCTGTAAAAACAGACTGGGAACAGAAAAAGAAATAAACAGGAGGTTAGTACCCTTGGAATGGGGTAAACGATTGTATAAACCTGACGATGTCAAATAAAATCGGTGGCCGAGTTTTGAGATGAGATGTGTGCTTGTCCGTTTTTTATCTGTTCTCAGGCCTCAGGTTTTACAGCGAAGCTGTATATGACTGAGAGGTCGGATTTCTGGAATTTCTTCGTGTCGTCGTCCTCACAAAAAAAAACAAAAAAAAACAACCCTTCAGCGATTGAAGTGCATATCACGCATACAACATACAGCACAGTATTCGTTTCAATAAAGAACAAGCACAAAACAAGCATTGCAACCATATAATTGATGATAAGGCGCTCCTGAAAACAATGCGAAGCATGTAATGCTCACCGCATACGCTTCTTGGTAAAGATTACTGTTGCGCAAGCTGCCACAGAGACGGCAGCTTGCGACGTGGGGAGTGACATCACTAGCCTTTCATATATAAAAAGTTTTGGTACAGTGCATTCACTTTTTTTTTGTCAATCATTTGGTATAGACCCTTTTGCTGTTTACGAATATGAACTGCCTCCTGCGTCGCAAGCGACTTCCGGTCACTCAATATTTGCAAGCCTGTCGAGCTCGCTTATATCACCAGTGCTAGAAAGCAAAAATGCTACACGTACATCGAAGTTGGAGATTTATCAAGGGCCCTTGGCTGGACAATTTAAGGACTTGGAGGAGGCAAGTTGGTTTACAAGAATATTCGATAATTTTAACAGATCTCGCGTTTCTTCGTTCTTTTGGCGTTCACCTGGAGAATTGGTAGTTAAACGTTTCATCGACATTTCAAGCAGCGCTGTTAGGGTAGGGTGGGCTTTGTTCATTCTTTTATGAGCCGGAAGTTCTCTGGGACATCAAAGACTGGAGCACCGCCTGGTGGCATTTGCCATAAAAAGGGTCTATACTGCAGTGGGCGAACGTTGCAGGTGATATTACAGCTTCACTGGCCAACCACCCTTCATAGCGTGAATTGGAGCACCGAATTTTTTCATTATGGAATCTTGTATAGGTCTGCAAAAGCATGGGGATGCTTGCACAGCTTATATGTAATATGAACAAGAATTAAAAAAAAAAAAAACTTCCAGTCCCTAGCCACCTTGAGGATGCTTTACTTGGGAATAAGAGAAACTGACTGTCAGGGGCGGATCTAGGGAGGCGGAGGGGGAGGGGGGGGAAGTGACCACCACCCTTGAGCTCTCTCCCCAAGGTCAACTTTTTTTAAAAAATAAAATCATCAATCTGCTATGTCCTACTGCTAGGCGACGCTAAGCTACGGCTTTTTTTTTTCTTTAGCTGCGTGCATTATCATCATCATCATTGTTGTTACCATTTTGCTTTATTCATTCGCCATTCTGCAGTCGCCTCGGACTACGCTAGCTTGGACGTAATGGGCCCCATCTACTGGGAAGTACTTGACAATAACTCTAAAAAAGGAGGCAAAGATTCTCAAGCTGATAGAAAGTGGCCTAACTAAAGCGGAGGCATAACCTGGAGCAAGGCACTATTGGCAGATTTCTTAAGCCCGCTTAGACGCAATAAAGGCAAGTTTTTATCTGCTGATTTTTCTGACTGCTCTATTATTCTGACGTTTTTTTGGACCCTGCAAAGTCCGAAAAACCAATCAACCACTGTACCTAAAAAAAAATTTTTTTTTTTTATCACTTTGATAATACAGGTTACACACCATGTCCGGACTATGCGGAGAGCAAGTCGTCTGCCTCTCGCGCAGGAGCTGCGGGGAAGTCAAAACGACGCCAAGCTCTGATTGGCTTTGATTGAAAGGATAGTGGGTAGACCTCAATTCGAGATGCCTTGAGGTCTATCCACTATTTTTTGCAATCACCTAATAAGAGCTCATTGTTCCGACATCATCGCAGCCCCTGTGCAAGGAGCAGACAAACTTGCACTCCTCATAGTACGGATAACATGGCACATACTAGACCCCTTTTGATATGCATGCATGCCGCTTGTCTGTTGTCCTTTTCACCAGGGTGTCGAACCGGAACCGAACCGAACGGAAAACCGGAACCGAACCGGTATTTTTTCCGGAACTGAACCTGAACCGTTATATTGTTATCGCGATGAACCCGAACCGGAACTGAACCGGAAAAAAAATAACGGTTACCGGCTCATGTCAAAACGGTTCGGCCACACGCTGTTGACAATGAATGTGCTATCAATGCCATTTGTGTTTTAAGTGCCGTCAACTGACACACACCTCGCTTACATATTTTTCTTCTCCACTCGGTCTTAGGAATATAAACGCTGCATCCATGAATCTTGACAAACGCTGCATCCATGAATCTTGACATAGGAACCAGTATTGTGCTGGTCGCGGCTTGCACGGAAGAAAAAAAATTAAAAGGCTGTGCAAAAAAAAAAAAAAAAATCACGTCACGGGATTTTTTTTTTCTACAATCTCGTAAATCCTAAATGCTGCTGTGTGCTCATTTCATAACACGTTCCTAGAACGCGCGAGTTCTTGAAGCTTGCTTCCATCGGAATGAGAAAAGAAAAGGCTGTGGAGTTTGATAATAATGCATCCGGTTTCGTATAGGCACTTAGAAGCTATACTTCGCTTCACCTTATGTGCGAGCGAAGGCAAAGCTGGAAGCGCGAGCACGAAAGCTCCGTGCGTTCAGGCTTTGCTCGAGCGCGCGAGCTGGGGAGAAACGCAAAAAGCGCTGGTCTCGCGCTTCTAGCTTTGGCTTCGCTAGCAGAGAAAGTGAAACGAAGTATAACATATTTGTGAGACAGCGAACTCTTCTATTTTAATATTTATCCTATTACGTCCTTCTGGCGTTGCGTTCGGTGAAGTGTTTTTCATATTCCGTATCTTGTTTAATGAAAACTTCTTTAAGGGTCTAATTTGAGTTACCGAAGGCTAGTTCAAATAAAGAAAGCTGTATTTTCTTCCCACTGTTCCTTCAATTGCTTACACGCCGAGGTGGCGGGATAGTTAGCGAGTTCTACTTGTAAGTGGGTTTGTAAGGAGGTCGCAGATTTTACAGCTACTGCGTCGGACCCAATTAGATGAAGTCCGAATGCGTAAACGTCGGTGAGGTAACCTTTGAGTGCACATAAGGAAACCATTCCTGGTAGAAATCCCTGAGCCTTACACTACGATGTATCCCGTTTCGTATGTGCTGATTTCAGATGTTTTATTTGTAATTTAGTTTGATGTTGCAATTTGTCATTTATAATTTCCGAACCGGTTCGCAAACCGGTTCAGCGCCCTGAACCGGTTCGCGGATCGAATTAATCGAACCGGAACTGAACCGGAACAAAATTAATTTACCTGAACCTGAACCGTAACCGAACCCGTATTTTTTTCGGTTCGACACACTGCTTTTCACACATATCAACACAACTGCTGTCCGGGGGTATTTTCTGTGCTTTCAGTAGCAGAGGCAGCAAAAGGGGGCACTCACTTGGTGGTGAACCACTTGTGGCAGTCGAAGACGCGGATGACCGAGATGCCCTGCAGGGTGGTGGACAGGTGGACCACCACCGAGGAACGGGCCACGTTGTCCAGCTTCTTCACCTCCCGCACCCCGACATTGAGCCAGCGGTCCAGCAGCAGGTAGAGGGCGGCGGCTGCCCCGAGCACCACAAAGAACACCTTGTAGACAAAGACCGAGATGAGCAGCTGCAGGGCGATCGCCAGCAGGCTCTGCACCACCATTTCCAGGAAGAACGGGATGCGGATGTCCACTGGGGGAAGACGCCGAGGACTCGCAATCAGGAACAAAACTTGTTACGACGGGAACGGAAGAAAAAGCAAAAGAATGAAAGACAACCGCAGAAAGGATAAAATGGATGAGACACACTCACATGTTGCAATAAAAAGAAAGGAAATAAAGAAAACAACAAACTGCCAAGGACTCGCAACACGACCACTAGAAACAGACAAGTCGCAACGAGAATACTAGAAACAGGACGAGTTGCAACGAAGACGAGAACAAAGACACAAACGAAAGAATGAGCAACAACCACAGAAAGAAGAAGACAGACAAGACACACTTCTGGGCAGCGATAAAAGCAAAGGAAATAAACAAAACAAGGAAGCTTTATTAGGAATTACGGCAATCTTCGAGAGAAAGGAAAGTGACGCTGTAAGCAATGGAAAAGGCAGCAGAGCAGTGATGCAAGTTATAGATACTGTATAACCTTAGACAAATAGAAAAAAAAAAAGCATGACAAACAAAATTTTTCTAAATGAACATTTGGTTACCTGTGATCTTTTTACCTCTTTCTCATTCTGCTTTATAATGCCAACCTTAACAGATCGTCTGATCGTCTACACCGTTGTCTAACGCTGCAGATGCCTGTCTGCATTCCTGGGCTAGAAGTTCACGCATGTGGCCTCACTTTCATCCATGTCTTTAGAGAAGCGGTTGGTGATTCGTCCCGAGGGGGTCACGTCGAAGAAGCTCGTGGGGGACCGGAGGACCCTCTGCAGCATCTGGTTGTGCAGCCTGCTTGAGGCAGCCAGCAAAACCTGCACGGCAGACCACAAGGTTCTTTGACCACTACACACCTCTGAAATAGCGGCCAAGAGGTCCAGGGGCGGTCCCTTCCATTTAAAATTACTCATGCACTTTTCTAATCCTGGTTGTGCCCAGTTCTTAAAAAATACAGGGTGTTCTGTTTTACAGCCTTTACAGCAGTAATTCTCAAATGGGGTACTGTGAGCCCGCTGGGGTCTGCGAAACCCTTGCCTCAACCTTTAACCCCCCCTTTCATAGGAAAAAATTTTTCTTTTTTTGTTGACCCCGGCTAGGTGGCACAAGCTTTCCTCCAGTATAAAGGGTACGGCCATTGCCGTCTATTTACCCCCTCATCCTTTTACTTGATGCTTCTCACTTGTCCTGTCTATAACAGTAAAGGATGGCCTTTTCACACTGCAATTACTTGTCTTATTTTACACCCCCCCCCTTTCCCACCTTTCCCTTCCCCCACTGGCATGGGGTGCCCCATCACTTTGGTGGGTCCCCAAGGGGTCCCCGACACATCCATGCTTGAGAACCACTGCTTTACAGGCTTGTTTAAACAAAAAAAACTGTGAGAGTTACACTAGTGCAGTTTATGCGGGTGATTTATATGGCCAGAGAGACATAATATGGGGGACTAATCTTCACGACAAGCGAAATAATTAACCAAAATTTGTTAGTTAACTTTCTATTTAGTAAAAATAAACATATGGTTCATATTAAAAAATTGCTGAGCGTCATCGGAAGCCCGTAAATAAGTAAATTTGATTAAGATTTGGAGCATGTGGGAAGTGCGGGGGTGCGCTAGAGTTACCACTCGCACGACAGGTGTAGGGCAGAGGATGCAAAAACGCCCTTGCGGACGCTTTTGTTTCTTATCATCTGCGTTTTTGCCTCGTCAGGCTTGTTCCCGTTAAACAAGCGCAACCTTGCACTTTTTACTTGCTCCAAATCTTTCTAAAATTTAATTATCTAGTAGTTTTCGATGATGCTCAGCAAGTTTCTAAATGAAGCCATACGTTTATTTTTGGTACCGTAATATCCCGAGAGATGCCCGACCCCCGAAAGATAGCCCGCCTCCTATTTTTGGCACAATTTATTTTTTTGACACACCGAAAGATAGCCCACTTTTTGTAATTGCAGTGTCCTGGCCAATGGTGACCTTGGAAAAAGCGGTGTTACTTAACCACAGTGGGAGATAAGCGAACACTGCTGACGGGATCGAACAGTTGTCTTTGATTCACTCCCCTTCCTGCGATCACAAGTTTAGAGGATCACAAAATCTAAAACTAGCACTTTTTCAACTTTTTCCAACTTTTTTTTTTTTTTTTTTTTTTTTTTTAATGGCACACTGAAAGCAGGGCGTCTAGCAAATTATTATTTTGAAATTCCCCGACGTTTCCAGGCTTTCCCTGGCAATTTTAGGTGAAATTCCCCGGCCACTGCAGAGCAGTTAAATATACAAGACCATTACAACACGAGGCATTTTTTATTTATAGAGCACAATTATAATCAGCACAAATTAGGGTATCTGACTACAGCATCTAACATTGCACAAAGTTAATGCAAACACAATCTGCTCTTGCTGCTTAAGAGTGTCAGCCATTGCACAGGGGCTGTCCAAGCACACATCTCTAACTTCTTAAGGGAGTCGATTTTAATGCCAAAGCCTTAACTGTCCCATGGAGCGAACCGACGTCATCAGCTTTTGAAGCCACGCCAAACGGCACCTTCCCTTGTGCCAATGGAGCGAAGCTTGTCGTCTGTAGCAGAAATCTGATGGATAGACTCCCATTGTCTGGCGCACGTTATAGTTTCAAGGAATGAGGCTCCCATTGGCTCTCGTGTGGCGTAGTTATAAGGAACGCCACTAGAGAAGCGCTCTCCATGGCAGCGCAGCGCATGGAGCGGAATGGCCGCCGGTAAGAGGGAGCGGTTGACCGCAGAACCTGCATGGGCAAACTCCGGAGAGGCTGCAGCGCGGCGCAACCACTTCACGAGAGTGCGCACGCTCGGCTGTTGGCCGCTACCTCGGCAGTAGTGAAACATGGCCGTCCATGCCAGTACGCTGCAGACGAACGAAGAGAGCGGAAGAACAACATTCATGCTTTCGCATTCACAACTCATAAAAAGTGCTTAGGTGTTCTCGGAATTTTTTTTTGCTTGCAGGAGACTGGCCTCCATTAGTGATTCACTAATAGTCTTCCCTTCTTTTCTTCTAGTTCTTTCACAAGAGCGGCCACTCTTTTTTTGTTTTCTAAACCCCTGACTCCCCCTGACTTTCTTCCCTCTTTTTCTGCAATTTCTTTCGAAAGACGCCGTAGGAATTGCGAACCATTTGCACAACCTTGTCAGTAATTTCAACCTTGGCCACACCACCTGTTGCTAACACAGCGTCGTGCACCGCTCGCTGGGCTATGAGCGATTCTTCTTTCAAGTTTTCAACAATGCACTCTTCATTGACTGAGAAGCCTCTTTCTACGGCAGCATTGCCGTGAGACAAGCATAGGATGATCTTGATGAAAGACAGCAGCTCCTTGCAATCATGCGAGCAGAGATCTAGCCACAGGATGTCCAGCCTCTATTCTTTCCTGTCAAAATTTTTCAGTTTTTCCCGTGCAAGGCCCAGTGAACAGATCTGTACATAGGAACGATGGGCCTGTTCTGCTTGCAGATCGGTCAGCCACTAATCTTCTGAAAGCACTTCAAGTGCAAGGGTCAGTCGTTTGCAGCCAGCCCCCGAAGACAATGCGTATGCTGTATCCAAGCAGCTGGCACCCCTGTTAGCTTATGCTTCAATGGTGACCTCTACATCACCTTTTGGGAGCACACCTTAACAAAGGAAACATAGTTTTTCCTTGAATTTGAGAAGGATAAGCTGTTGTAGCCTGGGCGCCTTGCAGAGCTCAATCTTTGCCGCGAACCCAACGTCAAAGGCGGCTACAGATATACAGTTCTTGGGATTTTCCAGGTGTACCTTCAGTAGCTTAAGGGGCGTGTTCGCAGCATTGAGGATTTCCTTCTTAAAAATTCTTGCAAGCAGCGACCGTAGGCCGTTATAAAGTGCCGTCGAAAGAAAGGGAACCATTGGCTTGTCGGTCTAAAATTCTGCCCAAAATGGCTCCAGTTCTTCAGCAATCGACAGCATGAAGACTAGTTGTGCCGGCAACAACTGATCACCAACTGCGTTCACAATGGCGTTGTAGCTGGAGCATGTCGGCTGTTTGTTTGCCTTTGCTGAGCACTCTACGAACTTTGCCAAGTTTGGAAGAACTTTTAAGGGAGGACGCGGGTCTTGAAAAGCAAAAAATCGCAAAAAAATCACTTTTTCAAAAATTGAATATTTGGATTGTTCATGCCTTTCTCCATCTCTGCTGTACGTATTGAATCCCAAAACGCCAAATAAATACCTATAATAACGCATTTTCGATGCTTCCGCGGTCGCGAAATGCTGATCGATCAACCAAATCGAGTTCAGATTCGCGCGCGCCTAGTTTCCGAACCGTTTACCGGACGGCAGCCATCTTGGTCTTGTTTTGTTCGTGAATTCTTGCTCTCTCTTTCGCAACCTTTCAAACTGGCGTCACGCTCGAGGCAACGCCGTTTCGTTGGGTTTCCCGCCAAAGGAGCGCGGCGCCGTGATTGGCCGATGCGCGCGTTCGGAAAATCGGGCTGTACTATTGGCGCCGAGAGGCTCCGGACAGTTCCGAGCAAGTTCCTCCTCTCCCGCTCGCTCGTTCTCTTTCTCCGCGCTCGGTTTCTCCGGCGTTCCTCCTTGTTCGCTCCGCTTTTTGTCGTCTGCTATCCGCAAGTTTCCTCCATTGCTCTCGTCTCCTTTGTTTACATTTTTCGATCGATCGCGTCGCGTATTTTTCACGCTTCTTTTTCTGCGATGTGGAGGAGCAAGTATAAGAGCAAGACTCGATATGCGTATGGAGCGTGTAAGCGCCGGATGAAACAAGTCAGAGCGGCGAAATCGAGCCTCGACCCGACGATCGCCGCGAGGAGTGAGCCCGAGATCACCGCGCCTGCGTGTTCATCGACTGCCGCCGCCGAAGAAAACATCGTTTTTTGTGCGTCTCAAACCACGATAGAGAACACGACTGTTCATCTAGAGACGCAGTACGTGTCACAGGAGGAAGCTGATGCGACAACCGAACATCGCAATGCCGTCCGTGCGAAGCTTGCCTCCGTTTCCGCGACGCAAAGGAAGTTTGAGCTGCTTCAGCAAGCCCCCGCTATCGCGACAAGCTCATCGGCGAAGTTCACGATTGTGCAGCTTGACGCTATAAATGAGCTTCTTGGCTATACAGTCTGCCAAAGCTGTTCGGCGACGGGCGTAAGAATTCAGGAATCGACCGCTCTGGGACTTGCCGTCAAGCTTGAACTTGTGTGCCCCGTCTGCGAAGTCGTGACTCACACGTGGTCATCTCCGCGCAAGGTCGACTCCAACGCATTTGATGTGAATTTGAGAGCGATTTCGGCAATCAGAAGCATTGGCAAGGGTCAGACTGCCCTGAATGATTTCTGGGCAGTAATGAATGTATCACATAGAGGGCTCCTCCACAAGACCTACCAAGATCACTTGAAAAACATCGTTAGTAAGTCGGCTGCAGCTACTGCTGAGAAGATCTACACTGAGTCAGCCGCTGCTGTGAAAAGCACATACAGGGAAATGAACCCCAACTTCACCAACGATGTTGCTGTCGTCTACGATGGCACATGGCTCAAGAGAGGCTACAGCTCCCATGTTGGTGTCGGGAGCGTGATCGAGTATGACACTGGCCTCATCCTAGATGCTGAGGTTCTCTCCAATCTGTGTCACGGCTGCCAGACTGGACCCAAGCCGGGAGAAGAGAGGTACTCTGAGTGGCATCAGAACCACGAGTGTCAGAAAAACACCGACGCAAACTCGGGAAGAAAGGGAGGTTGATGCGGCACTCGCATTTTTGGCCGCTCTCTGGAGAAACATGACTTGCGCTACACAACACTAATATCTGACGGGGACAGCAGAACTTTCTGTGCTCTAGTTGAAGACAAGACCTACGGGTTTCTCCCCATAAAGAAAGAGGAGTGCCTCAACCATGTACAAAAACGTATGGGGACTGCTCTGCGGAAGCTCTTGCAGAACAGCAACAAGCCTCTTGGAGGAAAGGGCCGCCTCACAAAGGTGCTCATTGAGAGGCTGACTGGGTATTACGGATGGGCCATCAGAAGCCATAGTAACGATGTGGAAGCCATGAAGTGAGCCGTGATGGCCACATATTACCATGTGACTTCGACGGATGAAGATCCAAAGCACAACCTTTGTCCAGGAGGACCGGAGTCTTGGTGCCGGAACAAGGTCGCCGAGGCAAAGGGACAGCCACAACCCAAACACAAGTACAGCCTCCCCAACTACGTTGCTGAAGCCATGTTGCCTGTGTATGAGCGTCTGTCGCAGACATCGCTTCTTGAACGCTGCTTGGGAGCCAAGACGCAAAATGCTGCAGAGAGTTTCCACTCCGTATTGTGGGCCTTGATGCCAAAGGAGCAGCACGCCTCACTGGTGTCTGTACAGACTGCGCTGCACGAGGCAGTCGTCAGGTTTAATGCTGGGTGCGCTAGGGCACACCTAGAGATGTCCAGTGCCATGAACCTGCAGCCTGCGCACCTGGCTCTCCGGCGGGCTTCGGAGAAGGACTCCCTCCGCTTACACAAGGCCACCAAACGCCACAGTGCAAAAACCGAAGCACGCCAGAAGAGGACGTTGCAACGCAGCACACAAGACTATGCTGCGGGTTCCTTCTGACACTATTGCCGTGCCTCAAACTTTCGGACTCTTTTTCTCAGGAACGCATTTTCTTGAGCCGTGACTGTTTCTGCCATTGATATTTTCTTAACTAGTGGCTCGATTTGTATGCAGTCTTTTTTATTTTGGTGCCAGAGAGTGCTAGAAGGGCATGACAATCTCAGTTTCTGCAATAAAGTGTAAAATGTTTTTTAAAGTTATAAAATGTCTTTGTATTTATTTGCAAATTTGGTAACATGAACATTCAAACTTTCACTAAAGCCGTTCCAGAAGGAAATTTATAAAAAGAGCTCTGTCTCCCCCTTTGGTATATATTCAAGCACTTGTCCAGTTAATTTCACTTTGCTACTGTGCTCCAAAAATATCTCGGGATCGGCAAAACAAAGAAACATAGAAACTCGTGTTTCTCGAAATCCAACAGGCATAATTGAGTGAAACATTGCAGTGGTTGTTAGGGCCCCTGTACCAACCTAGTCTGCAAGTTTCATGCCAATAACTTTAAAAACAAAAAAGTTATTTTTCTTCCCCACATCCTCCCTTAATGCCCTGGTGATGACCTTGCCATTTTCGAGCCACCTTACTGCGCACAACTTGAGAGGAAATAGTGTGCTCCCGGTGAAGTTGGCGTAATCGGGAAGACGAGCAGGCACAAATTTGAAAAGGTTGTGGCTACTGTAAAGAAATCCTACTACATCCCAACCAATTGCAGCATGGCTTGCCTTGTATGCACCATTCATTTTGTGCAGCCCACAACTTTTCATGTCCAGAATATCGTGGCTCTCGTCCGATTCCTTCAGTTCTTCCTTCAGCGACTTTAGAAGCTTCAAGTTTACATTTGGACCATCCGTGGAAACTTGTAGTATCTTCGCTTTCTTGAATGGTTCTGCGGCCTCCCTGAATGCTGATACCAGGTCCTCCACATGGATGTGGCCCAGGAAGCACGAAGTGAGGTACTGCGTCCAGGGGGTGATTTAGAGGGGGGTCCGGATGTCCTGACCCTCTTAATTTCTCCATGTGAAAAATTTAGGGCGTGGAAACGGGGAAAGGAGGGGGGAAGGGGGGGGGGTGTTCCTACACATGTGGTACGCTGACCAACACCTGACCCCCCCCCCCTTTTCCAGAAATTCCTGCATCCGAACCTGACTGCGTCTTCACAGTGCCATTGGTAGTGACGTCCCAATATCGGATAAGCACACCCATCTGTTGCTTCTGAGTCACTTCGTTGAGTGACTCGTCAAACGAAACAACTATGAAATGCACACTGACGAGGCAGCTTATTTCGAAAGTAGGGTGCAATACCATGGCAGATGGTATATCCTACCTTGTCCTTCCCTAAATGAAGTTTTGCAGCAACTTCACATGTGGGAAACATGAGAGGGAAGAGTGAGGCTGATGCTGCTGTAGAACGAAGGAATCCGTGGATTGCTACCGAGTTTAAGCAGCAAATTATCTCTGCCTTTGTCAAGGCGCTCTTCAGTAGAAAGCCACTCATTGACATCTTCACACTTGTTCTGGTGGCTGCAGGCTACTCAGGGGCACATCTGCTGTCTCCACTACATCCAACCAAAACATTCGTTGCTGCCGAAAAAAATGACAGAAGTTCAGATTGGAAATGGCTTGACTGAGACTTCGAAGTCGCAAAGTGCTTTCTGCTCGATGCGTGACTGGAAACTGCCGTGTTTCCCATGTTGCTTAAAGAAAATGTTTTGCGGCACATTGAGCATTGAGCACTGTGAAGATCATTTTGCATGGACTTAATCCAACTTGCATGTTCCGACGGGTTTGTGCAGTCCAGATTAGACGAGCACTTTCTTGCCGCTGACATCATCAGTGAATAGGTCAACTCCTTAAACCAATGAAAACTTCATGCTCAACCACACATGTCAATAACCGAATGGCAGCATGGCCACGAGATGCACACTCTCAGATACTTTCGGCTTAATGCTTGAATTGGATTGGGGTCTGCGGCTTTCCCATTTGTTACTAAATCTAGTAGCTCTAACTGGATCTAGTCTAGTGTCTTGTCCTCAATCCAATCCAATTCAAGGCTTAGACCGGATATGTTCGCTGTTCCCTTTGCATCGGGTAGCACACTCTACATCAGGTGAGCAGAGCCCACACTCTGCCCTAAGCAGAATTTATTGCCTATTTTTCTGGCCCCAAGTTCTCAAGTCTTTGCTTGGGGCACACAATGGCGTTTCCAGCTCATTTTCCCTGACTGGGCTCGCTTTTTGACAATATTCTTGATTTTTCCCAGTAATTAAAATTTCCCTGACAATTCCCGGTTTTCCCGGTCGCTAGACACATTGGAAAGTTAGCCCACCCCTTGTTTTCATCCGGTTTGCTATTGATTTTAGGTGGGCTATCTCTCGAGATATTACGGTAATTAAAAAGTTAATTAACAAATTTTAGTACAACTTATCGTGATGATTGACCCCCTATGTTCTGTCCACCTGGCTGTGTATCAGACTTGCAAAAACTGCATTAAAATAGCTTTCACAGCTTTCTTAAAGTAAATCTGTAAAGCCTAAAAGAAAAAAACTCCCGTATATGTATGAACTGTCAATAGGACAAGGAACTTACCGTAGAATACCATGCATCCGCCCATTCCACATTAACCGCCCATATCCAAATTTCCAAGTATGAAAAAAATATGCATTGTACATTTATATGTCAAATTGATGACCGGACAAGCGCCCATCCCCCATTTTTTCGTGATTATCTCTAAATTTTGAGTGAGCGCTTGCCCCGTATTTTACGGTAGGTAGTTTTTGTCCATTGAAATAAAACTCGTATCTGAGGCGTTAAGAACTTGCATAGTCAGGCCCTTTGCTGTATAGCCGTCAGTACCTAAATATTTCAGTGCACCCGTTCAGCCTTCGACTGAAATCCGCAATAGAAGTGCACCTAATTAAACCTTTTTTCAAAAACATGATACAATTCCTCAAGGTAAAAAAATTGCGGACTTGTACAAGTATTCAAGACCAACGCTAAAGTTGTAAACCAAGTAATGTAAATGTTCTCTTAACTTATCGCAGACATTGCAGAATTCCATGAAGATGTTTTCATGCAAAGCTCAAGATTTAAACTCTACAAGGAATCATCCACTTTCCTACTTGGATTTCTAAACAAGTATTACTATTCTGCAAAACACTTAACAGCATACATGTCTTGGAAAGCAAGCTCGTCCAAAAACATATAAAAGTATTCTTATTACAATTAGAGGATTGTAAAAGAAAAAGGTGTTTCAACCACTTACTACGGTACAAGCAATGCCCTTTATGATCCCCAAGAACAGCATAACCGGAAGGGTGACTCCATAGACGGTGTAGTAGTAGCTTTCACTGTGGCTGTCAGGCACTTCAATCTGTTCGTCATAGAGGGAGCTGTTCTGCTCGGGTCCAAATCCAACTGGGAAAAGGCAAAAGAGTAAGGTTGAGACCACGAGCGGATGTGGAGATAACCCAGCTCCAACTGCGCTCAAAGTCAAACTCTCAATTTCATTGTCCGTGCGGCCTACAGCCAGTGTGCATCGCGACATTTGCACGGCAAGATCCGAAAATATATTTCCTTCAAGTCGCGAAGCACATTGGTACAGCCAACTTTTCGATAGGCCTAGTAAGCAGTTCCATAAAGTAGCGAAGCTTTAGGACCGGAAAAGATTTGAGGATTAGCCGAACACTTGCAATCCGACCTCGTGAGAGGAGAGAGATAAGTTGATTTTCAATAGCCGTCAAAAGCAAAGCTGCCTATGGATCTTCATCGTTTTTATTCCAGACTCACGGGCCCTTCGCACCTTGATTATGAAGTTTCTTACTCTAACAGTTTAACTTGCACACTACGAAAGATGGCAGGAACATGTTTAACAGCAAGAATTATGAAGGGCGGATAGGCAGGAAAGGGCAGTGCCAAGAGTTGCCTGGGGTATGACAAGTTTAAATCCAGCTGCTAGAGAAGAGAAATATTTTCTTTTCACTCATTCCCCAGTCCTGTCCTTACCGAGCATTGTGGGTTCCGTTGAAGTGACATTTGGGAGTGGTTCCTTCTTCTTCATCTGCGAGAAAAAAAATTTGTTTTAGAAGGCAATGCAGAGTCCTGCTTAGAACCCTTTGTCAGCCGTCTGCTCAAGGCAGGAAGGCGGGTACCATTTCACCTCAAGTTCAACCGCAGTTAAAAGCTAAATGGAACGCATGAATATGCAGAGGCCAAAAGTACAGCATCATGCACATTCCCTAATTTCATTGGTTCAGCAGAGCACGCAAAAATGGCAAAAAAAATGCAGTGATGCGGCACTTTCCTGATACTTAAACAAAACCTGGATCCGCCCCTGACTAGTCTGGTGAAATAAAGACTTTCCTCTAACTAAGCTTTATTTTTCATCTATGTATATAATAAATTGTTTTACAAAGGTAAGTTGTCTCATGGCATGTATTTTGGCCTGAAAAATTTATGTTTTGGTTATAACGCGGTACCGCTTATAGTGCGGATTTTCACGACTCCCGCGACATACGTTATATGCGGTCTACACTGTATATGGTTTTCGCTATACAGTAAACTTCTGTTAATTCAACCTCGACGGGACCTTGAAAATTGGTTGAATTATCCGAATGATCGAACTAAAAAAAGAACAGAAAAACGGTTAAAATTAAACTTCCTTTTATTGTCCGAAGTACTCACGGATTGTCTGCTGCCGTCTGCGCTTAAAACGCGTGTTCAAAGGCATGCTCTGGAGAGCAACGTAACTAACTAAACGTCATGTCCTCAAAAATCACGCACTAAAAAAAAAAAAAAAGTTTTACGAGTTGACTTTGGCGCCAAGCAACCAGACCGTCGGCGACAAAGAAAAATAACAAGAAAAAAAAAAAAAAAAAGGACCTGCGCTTTTTGGCGCACAAGATGGACCGCACACGATGCTACAGAAAAGCGCTTTGATAGCGCGCAGAGAGGAAAGCTCTATGAGCCGACTTTGGTGCCGGGCAACCAGACTGTCGGCGACAGAGAAGAATAGCAACAAAATAAAAAAAGAACCCGCGCTTTCCGGCGTGCAAGATGGACCGCACACGATGCTACAGAGAAGCGCTCTGAGAGCGCGCGCAGAGAAAGCTCTCTGCTGAAGTCATGCCATCATAGGTGTGAGAACAGTCTTTTGTTTCAGGTATCTAGACTGAGATCGGCGGGATACCCTCTTACGTTGATTGTGGGCGTGGCTGAGTCCCTCATAAAGGTGTTCAGGAGCCGACCCAGTCCTAAGATTAGACAAAAACCGACAACAAGACCGGTGGTGGTGCCTTATCTCCACGCCCTCTCTCATCAGGTCAAGTGAGTGGTGCGTAAGTTTAACGTGCCAGTGGTGTTTTCAGCACCCCAGAAGCTGTCACGCCTGTGCACTGCTGTCAACCGAGGGAGGAACAGTGATTTGCAATGTGATGTAAACCACCGCACTCCTTTTGTACCATGCGCAGTGGGGGTTGTGTATCAGATCCCCTTCACATGTGGTAGGGTGTACATTGGACAAACGGGGAGGTGCGTGAACGAGAGGGCGAGGGAACATTCCCTTTCTCTCCGTTCTTCCCCTGCTGGCCACTTAGCGGTACATTGCAGTAGGTGCGGCTGCGTACCTGTTTTTCATGACTTGACGATTTTGGCGCGCAATAAAAGTAAGACCGCCAGGGAGATTGACGAAGCATTTTTCATTTTATCTAAAGGGGAAGGGCAATGTGTGAGCGCACTGTCGGTGCACTTGGGGGATGATGAGGTCCTTTTTATCAGGGAGAATGGCAGGCATGTGTGAGGGTGATGACGTGGTAGAAATCTTGTCGGTTGGGGTGTAAATTTTTTGTGTCTTTATTGGTTCTTTCCTATGCTCTGTGTTTATTTTTCTGGTTCGCCTGAAAATTAAACTTTAGTTGACAGTCAGCGCTTTGTCCGTGCACTCCTTTCGCTTGCCCTTTGTTCAATTTTTTGCGCTGTTTTCACGTTTGACGATGTTAAACCAACTAGCCCAACTTACCGCCTTGTTGTTCTACAAGCAGATTTTGGTGCCGGACGGCCAGAACGTCGGCGACAGAGAAAAATAACAACAAAAAAAATGAAATAAGAACCCGCGCTTTCCGGCGCGAGAGATTGACCGTACGCGATGCTACAGAAAACGCTTTGGTAGCGCTCGCTGTCTCCGCGCCTGACCACATACTATGTCCTCCGCGCTACTCCATGCCAGATTGGTTGCACTGGCTCGTGTCATTCGCTACGGTCCATCTCAATGGCGTAGAGGAGCAGGCGCCTATTTGCAGACATTTGGTTTTGCAGCAAAGGGCCTGTGTTTCGCCGTACGTTAGTTGTTTTTCTGCCGTGGTGCCGTGCAATGTGAGACCACGCGCATTCGCTCGGGACGAATTATCCGATGCGGAGTTTTCCCGAGTTTGAACTATCAAACTTTTCCTCCCATAGAAATGTATGGGCGCTTGCCGAGACTTTTGAACACGATCGAATTAAACGAAAAGTCGAATTAACTGAGGTCAAACTAACGGAAGTTTACTGTAATTAAATTTAAAAACAATTTTTTTTAACAACTTGACATTTAAAAAGAAGACGAGCAGACTCTGTGTACTTCGACAAATCGCCTGACGAGTCTACAATGAGGTCACAGTTCACGTGACTCAAGAGCTGGATTTTTTCGCAGTTCAGGGCATCGCTGTCATTGGTCCCAGAGGGATTTTTGCTGGATCTGTTGAAATAATTTATGCAGCACACAAGCGCAACTTTGGGCTAAAACTTCAACAAATTACTTGGAATACACACTTCTATATTTAAATTGAACTTGCAAATCGTCTTCATATTTCCTTTAAAGCGATAGGTTTATATGGGAAGCCTGCACAGACATTGCTCGTTCGCGTTGGTGTTGGTCACACCGTAGCGTACGCCATGGGAGAGAGTGTCGGCAACGGAGCACAGCTGTTGGTTTGACATCATAGTATGTGCGATCAATGGCCTTGCACTGCATCAAGTGGGACAGTGAGCGGACCACTATCGTTCCACCACCTTCCCCCCCACCACTTCACTGAATAGGAATGGGACGCTGCACATTTGGGGAGGAACTGTGTATTAGCAAATTAATGTAGTGCTGATGCTAATTAAAATCTCCGTCAAGGGCTATCACATTTTTCTTGCATTAGACAAGAATGTCTAAGCCAGGTGACATTAGTCTGTTATTTTCCTTGTTGCGCCGTGCTTCTTGCCAGACAGGGTACGACCTTGGACTGAGAAGGCACGAAAGAAGGTTCAGGCTTTCGCAATCGCCCGTTGGTCTTTTTATCTCCTTCTCCGACGCACGGGCCCTTCTGTAGTGCTCGGTTCCTCTTTCGGAGAAGAGGGTCTCTTTTGTTCTTCATCCTCTTTTGTGTGGCATTTCAATCTGCGCAGCAGTGCCTGTGTTACCTTGAAGAGATGCGAGCAGCTTCTCCGAACCTCCCTGAGGACTACTCTGCCAAAGCAACGCTTCCCACGCCAGTGCATTTATGTGTCCTGGTCGTTAATGGCTCTTCTATCTACCATGACCCTCAAATACCTTTTCTGTTACTCATTTTGCAATGTTTTGTCATTAACTTTTTTTAAAATTTACAACGACGATTGCCACAACCATGTTTTGAGCTACTGCTCGTGCACTTCGTGGGAGGGGAAAGAAAGGACCCCCACCTGGTCGACCCAGTGCTGGAGCCAGACGTTGGCGAACATCTGGGAGCAGACGAAGGCCAGGAAGGCCAGGGCCAGCAGCAGCACCACGCAGGGGCCCCCGCACGCCTGGACGTACTGCCACACAGCCCCCTTCGAGATGCCCCCCACTGCCTTCTCCTCTTCCTTCACCAGGCGGCTGCCCACCATGCTGCCCTCCACTGCACCGGACAGGTACACTCCCATCAACTCACACAGCTCTTGTTAACATTGTGTGAGCGCTACGCACGAGTGTACTCGGGCGCATTCCCGTGTGGTTTCAGTTTGGTTTGCTCCCCTGCTCTGGGGCGTTTTTCCATGCAGTGGCATGTATGAGTAAATGTTTTACCTACTGGTGTCACTTTTTGATGGCACATAATTATTTACTCTTTTGCTCCACATGCTCCGAGCTGCAGTGCACTAACACGCTTGGTCACCAATCCCGTTGGCACGTAGACAACGTTAGTGAAGTCGCCGAAACATGCTGGTGTTTACAAACTCATAAACTCTGAAGAATATCGGTACATATTACATCCAGAAACTGAACACTGAACCCAACTGGCGAAAGATCATTAGAAATGCAGAGTTTGGTTTCTCACCTGCATCTTTGTTTGCAGCCAAGGTGTCCTTAGCTACGGATGAGTCCTTGTTTGGTATGTCTGAAAAGTGTGACCGGTAGTAGACATTTAATGTGTGAGAAGGGCGGATAAGTATGCTCATGATGCACGCTACACATATTCTTTTAATATTAAACAGACCCTGGTAACAGATCAAAAGGGCTCAGAGTTGTGCTTCGTCATACACTGAATGTGCACATGACCAGTATTCAGGGTGGCATGCACAAAGGAAGGTATAGAAACAAAGAAATAGGCCCTTGTAGATTAGTTTTTAAACGCATATTTTACCACATTTAATTGAACAAGGATTAAACGGGGTACTTGTAAATGACATATTTCAGTGACTTAAGGTTTTAGTAATTTTGTGAAAAGCAAGATGATAGCAAAAATTGTATTATGTTGGCATATGGTAAATACATATGGGGTTATATCGAGCAATTTACTCCCAATCATAAAATGTTGACGTGAACAATTTTTTTAAAAAACACTCTGCAAATTTTGCAAAATACTGAGGCTGCAAACATGCTACTGTCTACAGTGTATCCTAGCTAACCATCTTATTCATTTGGTGATTTTGTTGTCAAAAAGTGAATGTGTGCCGTAAAATACCGAGCAAACACCCATCCTAAATTTGAAAAAGAAATTGGGGAACGGGCGTGTCTTAGGTCCGAGGGCAACAATGGAAAGGGGACACATGGAAGGGTAGGCTTGACCGCTTTGCCCCGGTGCACGCGTGTCAAGATTTGCCATCTGCATCAGTGTGCTTGGAGGAACAGCTGACACTGAGGAGCATTTTGGTTGGCTAGGAGGGTTCAGAAGTCGGGGGTGGGCACATGGTATCCTGTGCTTATTTTTCAAATTTATGAAAGATAGAAGCTAGATGATTGTGACATGGGTGCATGCTCGGTATTTTATGGTAGACATGAAATGCATGCTGACCTATGGAATGTCTTTTGCTTATTTTGTAGTGTTGTGCAAATATTCGAATAGTAGTTTCAAATAATAAGCGATTTGATAGTCGCTTCGAGATGAACTGCAATATTCATACTTATCAAAGTGTTGATTGGGGCAAGTAAGCCCCGTTGAGTGAGCTTCTTACTCAGCACCCGTGCACTATGCAGAAGCAATACCCGTGGAGCTCGCGGGCCCTGCGAGGCAGAGCCGTATAAGTTTAGCCATTCATTGGGAAGTATAGGACACAAATGAGGAGATTGGCCGAAAGCATGCTGGGCGTGTTCCAGGGCATCTTCACAAACTTGAACGTGGCCAACCAGAAGCCGGAAATAATTATCTGGCGGTGTTTGCGAGAAACAAAATTAATAAGTGCGTCGGAGTGACTCTCGGTGACAGAAAATATGGTGCACGTGATGTTTCAATCATGGTAATCCAGAACCATGGCGGCAGAGTGCGACTAGCAGAACCATTGACATAATCCGTACACTAGGCACAGAGGACCAGGAATCTGCCGTCCGAGCAATCACACTATATCAGAGCAAAACAGAGATTGAGCCAGCACATTCGTTTCTTACATCTTTCTGCATGATCATAATTGAAACACCACGTGCACCCTATTTTCGACCCTGAAGGGTTACTACACTTAACTCTTATGCACTTATTAAAACCATATGCCTATTATTAAAACTGCTTCTCGCTACCACCGCTAAGGAATTCTTTCTTGCTTCTGGTTAGCCAAGGGAGCATGTCAAGCCCACTTCCTGCGTCTGGTGCACGCCCTGGCCCTGCCCGCGCCTCCCATTGACCAAACACTCTGTATACATGGCTCTGCTGCGGGGTATTGCTTTCCCGCAGCACACGGGGGATCAGTGAGAAGCGCACTCAACAAGGTTAGCCCGCCGCAATTACATAAAAGTATTGTGTTACAAGCAATGTCTGGGTTACATCGAACCCGGATATATTGAATTCAAAGGGGATTATAAAATAGTTTGAAATATCAATAATTTGATATACAAAAATATGTTAAATTAAGCTAGAGTTGAAATTTCCTGGCATCTCTGCTAATATCGAAGGTCGCGACAAATGGGAACTTGCCAAATCGAGCGTCCAAGAGATGCTAAATACAATAGCTAAATACAGTAGCAAACACCGCCACGCTTACATGCGTGCCTGGCCACACATGACTAAACACGAAAATAATAAAAAAAGAATTAAAGAAAAACGGAAAAGCGAGACGCATAAAAAAATCTCTTGATCCATAGAAGCCTGGATAAAAGAGACTTTTTAGTGTTGTGTCGTTTACCCGCAGTCTCGGGGTTTTTTCAACCACGAGCAAGTGGATGCTTTTTCTGACATGGGCACATGCTCCATATTTTATAAATAGGCATGGATTGCAGGCTGACCTTACTGTTTAGTTAGGTAGACCGATTTATATGAACTAAAAAAATACTTGGTTCCTAAGCTCAAGTTTTAAGGCATTTTAACGTGAAACATTCTTTGACTAGGTGTTTGGCCTTACGTGAAGCCCACAAGTGAAACCTGGATAAAGGCAAAGCCTGGATAAAAGTGAGGCATTTTGAGCGAGGAGGGGAAAGAGGCCATCACAGTAAAAAAGGCCGCATCTCCACGTGGTGAATGATGTTGATTGGGGCGAAGCCCTGGTGGTGCTGATGATAATGATTTTGTTCATAAGTAGTGCTGATGGTGCTGATTTTTTTTTTATTGCTCATAGGTAGTGCTGAGTTCCAGGTTGCGTCTCGACTTCATCATTACTGCTTTATGGTCGGTGAAATGCAAAGCCAGTGGTTCTTCTAGCGGATCAGCTTGGATCCACTAGAAGCTGTGGGAACGCATCTCCACCGCTTAAGTCAACGGTCCATGTCAGAAAGAGAATGTGTGGTATGGATTGTGGGTATATACGGAGTTGAGCATTTGACTGCAGCGCCCTCTCCTGTATAGACATTGAGCGACTACATGCAACGTTGGAGTGCAGCGTAGTGGTTAAGACGTCTGCCTCGTAGGCAAGCGGTCCTGAGTTCGAACCCCCGTGCGGGCTTACGTTTTTTTTTTAAAAGTGGGCTGATACCGGAGGCAGTGCAATCGATGTGAGCACGGACGCCGGGCGGACAAGGCTAGACCCTAAGGAGCTTCGCCCCTAAAAAGCGTTTGCGTCAAGCAGGAGGCAAACCCGTACCATTTAGATTATTAAGCGAGTATCTTTCCAGCATGTCACGACACATCGTCGTGAGTTGAGGTGCCAGCTGGCGGGAAACCCCTGCGGGACATCCGCTCCGTGTCCGGCAGAGAGCAACTTGACACCCTAAGAAACGTTCTTTGGCTAGGTGTTCACCATTTCGTGAAGCCTGGATAAAAGCGTGGCCACTAGGCTCGACACTGATTATCATTGTTATCGGGTGAAAGAGGAGTAAGGTACTCGAAGCTGATTGGTTAACAAGGGAAGGTCATGTGACCAGTGGGGTAGGCGAGGAGGAGCTCGACCACCTGTGCGCACCAAGGGAGAGGAGCTCGAGAGTATGGAAGGCTCTGGAGGATCACCAGGTTTATCAGCCACGTTAGCTATAGTATAGCTTCATTCTAGGAACAATTATCAAGTGTACATATGGTATGTATTAAACAACCTGAAGAAGAGCGCTGTGAACGCAGGTGTCTGGCGTCTGGAAACTCAGAGTATCGCTAAACGTTTGTGATGCAAGAACGTTTCACGAATCCAACACAATTGCCTAGCAATTCGCCATAAAATCTTTTTACATGGCAAAAGGCATGTAGTACTAGTATTATTGATAAAAAGATGGAAGAGTTATCCTTCCATTTTCATTTTAGCCGTTTGAACACTGCTTCCTCAATGTGCTTGATACATGCCACTAGGCTCAATCTACCATTATAAGCGGTACAATACACTGCCACCAAAAGAACAAAATGTGTTATTGAAGAGTTGAGTGGAGCTGTCATTGCAACTCGAGGAAAATGGAAAGCCAGGGAAAAGAAAATAAGAAGCAGGGGTAAAACAAATCACACAAAGGGGATGGATGTGCTGAGGAGAAGAGGTGGAAGAACTGCATAGCTAAAAAAAGTTGGAAAGCTGTACCGTCTGTGCTAGAGATACTAAATAGGCTACACTACGAGTATCGGCAGTCCATTCCCCGATTTTCTTGTCGGGGCCGCCATTTTGTTGCTTAGTGCAGGGCGCGCGCAACTGCCGATCAATATGACTCGAAAATGTGAATTTCTAAGCTTTAGATATAATGCCAGGAGGCTCGGCGATATAACTTTTGTCCGTCACAATGTGTTTCCAAATTTCTGGAGGACAGAAAAACATTTGTGGCAGAGAGTGCTCAATCAAGGCACTAACCCAAGCGATAACATTTGGCGCTCATCAAAACCATGTCTGAGCAAAATGTAAAGAAGACCCCTATGACAAACGCAATAATTGTTTCGCACAGTGCACAGAAGTGCAAAGTGCTTGCGTAGAATGCATGGTAACGCAGAGGTTGGTGAGCGTGAAATAAAGCCCGAGCCCTCGTGTGGCTGCCGGGGAATACGAGACCTTGGGACAGACCTCCTGCCCCGCCTTCCAGCGCCATCTGGGTCTTGCCGGCGGCGTCTAGCTGGAACATCTTGCGGTACTCCCCAGGGAAGGACATCAGGGCAGCATGGGTGCCCCTCTCTATGATGCGGCCACCCTTCATGAAGAGCACCTGCTGGCACTTCTCCAAGACCTGAGCAGAGAAGATCATGATCATTCAGTACCTGTGCCTGAAGGGACACTGACAGGGCATTTACGCTCACCAAGGTTTTTATTTGAGCATGATCAATAAGAGCCCAACTAACCAGAATAAAATTTGCGGCTCGAAATTCATTTTCTTTCCGCCCGAAAAGAGCCGATCGAGAATTAGCTGGTTTCAGTCATGCTCACTCTTTTTCCCATGGTCACGTGGCATTCAAACTATGCGCACCAAATACATTCAAAGTTATGGGTCACATAAAGCACATATTCAATATTAAAAATGGAAAAGAGTATGAACCCCTACTTTTCTGGCCCCTAAGAAGCTGCGAATACATTGATAGAAAAAAAATGTTGCACAGGTCACAGGAAGTACATGTAGACGTCCTTCTCAATATGGCGACGTACCGCAGACTGGACAACATGAGGGAAGCGCACGACGAACCAGCATTGCGACAGATGTGGTGCCGCCACTTCGGAACCGCCTTTCGTGGTACGGCCAATTGATCTTCGAGCGCAGAACATCGAGCGGAAGGGATATAAGTGTGACACAATCGCACGACAGACGGTGCACGCAAACTTCATATTCTTCGTCGTACGCCAGAGAAGCGGAGAGAAAAAAAAAGAAAATGCAGTCGGGTGTAGCCACGTGACTTCTGGCCAGAAGCTTCCTCACACGTGTTTCGTTTTCGAGCAGTGGAGTTTTTTGGCTATGCTAAAAAGATACGTGACTCCGCAGCAAAATATTAATTGGTCAGTCTATTGACACCATATTAAATCGCCTGGCAAAAAATAATAAGAAAACAATTTGGGGGGGCATGCCAGTGCCATTCCCCGCCCCCCCCCCCCCCCCCCCCCTTAAGCACGATTGCGGCCAACGCCACAATCCGACGAAGCCAGTCGAGCGGCGCCAAAGGTGTGTCGTCGTGGCACTCGTCGTCGTGTGTCTGTCGTCACTGGCTACACCGATCGCGCACGCTGAATGCGGCGTGGGCCTGCATTCTTTCGGCGCGATAGCAAACACAAAAGATGACGAGCGCCATGACAATAGACTTTCGGTGCCACTCGAATGGCTCCGTCTAATTGTAGCATTGTCTGAAGTCGAATTCGTGCGAAACACAATATGAAAGAAAAATTGCCCGAAAAGACTCAAAGGCTCTGCAACCTTCGGGTTCCCGGGAACCTGGTTTAGGTGGCAACAAATGATGTTGCAGAAGCCGGACTGTCCTGCCGTCGGATGTCACAATCCTGACAGCTAGTCACAGATATGCTGTTGAAAAGCCTAATGAGCGAACGCGAATCGCCGTTGTCACGGCGTCCCCACTTCTGACTGCCGAAGCTTCCGTGGACTGCCATCCTGGAGAGCGACCTGCAGCAGAACAGGCGTCTGCCATATCCACCAACGCTGCTGGGATGCCACCAGGGTCGCGACCAGCGACAGCATGACACTTCTATGATGTCGCCAGGCATAAATTGGGGGAGCATTTTTTTGGATGCGGTAAAGACACCGAGCGCTTGTGCTAGAAAGGCAAATCTCAAAGCCAGGATCGCGGACTAGCTTGCACTTGTAGCTTTGACTGCAGTCTCGACTTAAGGGTGAAAGCGCTCAGAGGTAAATTGGAGAGCGAGCAAAGGCAGAGGAGAGACATGGCAGCACACTTACATGCATAGAGTGCGAGACGAGGAAGACGGTCTTGCCCTGCATGGCCGTCTGGATGCACTTGCGGAACAGCTGGTTGGCCACCTTGGAGTCCACGGCCGAGAGCGGGTCATCTAGCAGGAAGATGTCCCGGTCGCTGTAGAGCGCACGGGCCAGGCTGATACGCTGCCGCTGGCCCCCGCTCAGGGTGACCCCCCGCTCTCCAATCTGGGTGGGCAGCAACGGGCGTTCCAAAGGTCAGCTCGTCGGCTCGCGGTCCGACATGTCACGCCTCTCCAGATTTCAATGTTGACGAACTAAACCGGAGGTTCTTACAAACTTTTAAACCTCGAGGAATGCCTTTATCCAATTGATGGCTAAGAAAAACCCCACCCGGTCTTGGCACTAATGCAATAAAGCGATTCAGAATCCTATAAAAATTGTAAGCAATAATGCGCATATTAGGGAGTGTTCTGCACAACATTACGCATTAACAAATAGTTTAATCTTTAAGAAAATGTGCAGCAAATTACTGGGCAATTGTGTTGCATGTGAAACGTGTGGCGTCTACTCTCTGGGCTCTTTTCATTGGTAAGTTTAGCGACTGGCTTAATGCATGGCATGTACACTCAATAGCAACTCCTGGAGTGGAGACACCGGTGTTAACCCGGGTTTTAAATACATGCGACAGGGTGTCGAGTTGCTATCTGTCGAATGCAGAGTAAATGCCCCGCAGGACTTTCCCACCAGCTGGCACCTTGACTCACGGCAATGTGTCGCGACATGCCAGAAAGACACTCCCTTAAGAATTTAAATAATCTGAATTTGACACCCGCCTGGTGCAAACGCTTTTTTACAGCGACGGCCTCTTTTCCTCCACTCAAAATGGTGGCGGTTTCCGAAATAGGGGGTGTGACGTCATCATCTGGCTCGGCCAATCAGCATCGAGTTAACTGGCGGCTGCAATTTTCAATTTTGCAAATTTCTTGACCTTTCCCCAACGAGACAAAGCATGTTTCACGTGAAAACTGCTTAGGGGCAGGGACGGCCAAGAAATTTTCAAAGCTGGAGGAGCTTTTGAGGCTAATCTGGGGAACCCCTCGGTTTATAGGAACCCAGCTTGAGAACTCGTGCGCTAAACCGATAGTAAAGACCAGCTGGACTTTCGATGTGGAAGTTTGAGAAGACCAAAGACTGATATTCATCGAGGCGTTCAGATGGACAATATTCCGCAGAATCATATCTCCGAAGCCATCGTCGAAGAAGCCGACTTTCACGGCGGCGTGTTCTCGACCACCGATGCTTCAGGGACCCCTTGTGGATTGGTGGAAGTGACGGGGGGAACCCCATCCTCAATGGGGGAGGGGAGGTGTTGGACGATTACAGTGGAAGGAAAAGACAAAATGAGGAAAACTAAATGCATGCAAACCAACTTTTAAGTTCTGAAAGGGAGAATAATCTACCCCAACAGCTAGCATCAATAAAAGAAAAAAAAAGGTTCTACAGCTCGGTTTGACTGACAGTCGACAGCTTCAGGGACCATGAGAAGGCCTTCGGGGAGCCCAAAAGGGGACCGTGAACTCACATTTGAGAACCCCCGGTTTAGGGGGTAACATTTTGAAAGAAACCCTGTCGTTCAGAAGGTCAGTGCTTTCGGAACGTTAAAAAGATGTCACTGGAGAAAATGACAACTCGCACCTGGAGTACCTTTGCTTGGAGAAAAGGTTCAGGGAAATTGTAGCTTGTGCAGCAGGCTACCCTCTTGTGCAACACTTGCACAAGTTTGTAATAAATTGCGTGTGTCTAAAAATTGTGGTAAAAAATCTCCTGGTGGACCATGCTAGTTTGAAGGAAGCGATTGAATGATACATACCGTATTTACTCGCACAATGAACGCACTCGCGTAATGAACGCACCCCCCAAGTCGGCTCTCAAAATTTCGACTTTTTTTTCACTCGTGTAATAAACGCACCCCCAACTGGGACGTCAAAATTTTGACCCCCTCCCCCCACGCGCGCGAAATGAACACACTTTTTTATCCTGGTGCAGCGAGGTCGCGAATGCATGAGCAGCGTGGGCGAACAAAACGCCTTGCAAAGGGCGTTAAAAAAAATTCGCAAAGATCCAACGGAAGCAAAAAAAAAAACATGGAGAGGAGCTTTTTTTTTTTTTTGCACGCGCAGTCTGGACTTTGGGTTTGCGCGCTGCCGCGCCCAAGGAGGTAAGAAAGAGAAGCGCTCTAAACGAACAAAACAGCTTGCAAAAGGCGGCAAACAAAAAAAAAACATGAAACTAAGAGAGAAAAAAACAACAAAACAAAGCTTTTTTTTTTTTGCACAGCGCAGTTTGGTTATCGGGGGTCGCGTGCCGCGCGCAAGGAGGTTAGGGAGGCTCAAGTGAGGGTGGGTGCAACTGCTAGATCGGCGATCACGCGACATGGACGCCATTTAATTGCTAAATTTTGCTGGGAGTCTATGGGGCAAAGGGTCGTTTTCTTTCCTAACTCGGGTCATAAAAGCCCATTAAGGGGCTTGAATAATTTACAGAAGGTATAAATGATTACTTTTCCATAGCCACCAGTTTTGTTGCGATAGGTTAAGTATTTTTTTAACGCGAAAAATGGTAAATTCCGCCATCTTGGACGTTGCTGCTTGTCTGGCAACTTTGCTTTCTCCGCTCGACGTTTGCAATTCTCGGAGCGAGAAGGAAGCGAGAGAGGCTGCGCCGACGCGCTCGTTGCTTGCAATGGGTGGCGAGAGGAGGAAAGGCGCATGGAGCAACAGAGTTGCAACAGAGCGGGCGCCTGCTCTCGTGCAGGCAACACTGGCGCATGTCCTTTCTCGAATCCTCTCCCTCAGGCGCCGCCATTAAATTGCAAACGCTCTCCAGGTTTTGAGTTGCGCCCACCCTCACTGAGGTCGTGCGTCGCGCGCCGCGCCCAAGGAGTTAAGAAAGATAAGCAGAAAGCCCTCGCCTAAGCGACGCCTAAGCAAACAAAACAGCTTGGAAAAGGCGGCAAAAAAGATTAAAAAACCCCAAAAAACTAAAAGAAAAAAATTTTTTTTTTTTGCACAGCTTAGTTTGGTTACGGGGTCGGGCGCCGCGCGCAAAGAGATAAGAAGTTACTTCGTTTTTTCAGGATAAAAGGACCGTTCATTATGCGAGTAAATACGGACGCAAAAATTTTACTTCGCGTAATGAACGCCCCCCCCCCCCCCCCCCCCCCCCCCAACTTTGCATCGATTTTTCCGAAAAAAAGTGCTTCATTCTGCGAGTAAATACGGTATATACACTGTATATATGTAAGAACAAACCTAGCGTGCAGTAGAAATGCAAAATGCTCGAACAGAACACTATGTGGCTTTTAATGCCCAATCGTAAAACCCCTTCCTTTCTATGCGTGAAATAAAATGTTGCGGAAATTGCTACGCCGCTTGTCTACGATGTGTGAAGCATCGTGTATGAAGACCCACAACGTCACCTACGAGAAGAGGCCAGATATTGTTATGATGCCAGGAAGCCACACCACAACTTACTATGAATATGACAACACAAATTTGAGTAAACACTTCATTGATCCAAGCTGTCGATGTTGTTGATTGCTAGTATCGAGACCAATGGTTAGTGCAAAGTGAAGTATGAGACATACTTAGAAGTGTCTTTGTTGACTCCCTTAGTGAACACGTGGTCGACAACGCTGCCATGTTGTTTTGTTGGCACTGCGTCTCTTATGTTTAGTGTCATTTCGAAGGCCTTCTTCACGTATTGTGAGAACCAGTGATTTGCAGGGTTTGAAATGTCCACGTTGAAATCCCCCGTAATGATCCTTGGCATCTCGCTGTCCTAAGTTATCTACAAATGGTATCGCAGCACCAACACTGACTGCAGCACACCACTTCGAAATCGGCTTTGAGTGACTGCTTCATAGCCTGGGTGCGAGTGTGAAAGAGTGCATACTACCACTCCGTGTACGCGCGGCACGGGTCTAGGTTCTTGCGCTGCAGGCTACCGGGTGCGAGCACTAAGTGCACATGCATTCTCTGCCCCCTTTGAAGAGGGTGTGAATGTGGAGGAGTGCGTTACACTGCTCCGTATAAGCACGGTGTGGGTTTAGCTCCTCCTTTTGTTACGTGGCCAGATGCATCGTGATAGAGGTAGCTAAAGAATGCTGCGCGTTAAAAATTTCAACAGTTATACTTCAAATGTCGCAGGTCAATGTGCTTGCCCCTCAATCAAGAACAGCACCCCTCTACGACAAGCCTCACCTCAGTGAGATCAGAAGAGGTGAACTGTGCCAGGTCTGGAAGCAAACAGCAAGCATCAAGGACAGCATCATACCTGCAGGCAGGAAGGCATACTTGTACTTACAAGATGCTCAGGTAAAGCCTATACCTCTTAGGTTAATCATCCATATAATTAACATTCAGAATGTTTGTTGCATTTGACAGCACTAAGAAAAAGTGTTCTTTACACTAAACAAACCCAAAATATGTACCCCTTGAGTCCTCCATCAATTTTAATGCAGTATAGCCTTTCATAAAACATGTACCAACTAGTTCATCTTAATGCCTTGCTACAAAATATGTGAAAGAAATAGGTATGAGATTCATGCTTTGTCAAAGTAAAACAAGCCAAAAATTAAGTGCAAAAGAACCTGCTTTCCTCTACGCTCGCTTGTTTGTATAGACCGACACGTGGGCTTGACGTAGTGGAGCTGCGGCGGCGCTGCGATCGTGACGGAGCCGGGTGGTGTGGGCAGAAGGGGCGCATGTTTGGCATGGGTGTCATAGCATTTCGGCATGCCGCAAAGCTGTGTAGCCATTAATTGTGCTGAAAGGTACAGAAAAAATAGTGGAGCGAGTTTCCATAAGTTTCCGGTGGACTCTAAAAGGCGCAGAAGGTGCATAATATCTGTGGATCGAAAAGTGTGGTCACCTCGCGCGGATGACCGTTTGTGTCGCAAGCACTTTCTTGAAGGCAAGTGTGGCTTCCATCTCAATCTCCGTCCCGAGGCTTGCTTATGTGCAGGGAAACCGTCGCCTGATTGAGACCACCCAGATTTTGTTCCCACGGTGTTCGCACACAAAGCACCGGCCACACAAAGCACCGGCCAAGCGCTCGTCGGTGGCTAAACGCTTGTGCCACCAAGCAGGAGGCAAAATGGACAAAGCATTACCGCTTGTCGTGCCTTGTAGTCATGAAGATAAGAAAAATATCATACCTTAACTTGACACTTCCGCAGACCCCCAGTCTGCTGATCACGCCGCCAGCGCGGAAACCGTCTCAAGAGACTTGTACACCTGCACCGTGTCGGCCGTGAACTGGCTTGGCGAAAAAACTAAATAAACGACGACGTGAGCCATCGACGTCAATGGCAGAAACTTCACGTCGGAACTCCAGCAGTCCTTGTTTACGGTGTACGGATCGTCGAAGGCAACGCCATCCACTTACAGTTTGTCTCGATGCCACTGTCGTTCAGGCTCAAGCAGCGAGCTCAAATAGTCTGGCACAACACATGACATACGTTGGCAGGAAATACAACGCACAAAGAGATCTAGAAGTGTTCCTACAACGTCAACAACAAGCGCACGCCACACAACGTAATGGCGAGAACATGGAGAGCCTGGCCGCTTCTGCCCACATGGCTTCTGCACATGCAGGGACTTCCGGCCATGTTGGTAAACAGAGCCGCGCCGCATGTCGGTCTATACCTCAAACGATCTAAAGCATTCTATGAAGAAACAAAGTTATATGGCATTCCTTGAAAGCATCGAAGAATCAGTGGGTGAGAAATCCTCACCTTGACTTGAGATAGGGCAGACCAAAGAGGATGTTGTCCCGGATTGTAGCATTGAAGATCCAGGCCTGTTGTGTTGCAATGGCAATATTGCCATTTACATCAATATCGCCTTTCAGCAGGTTCATCTGTTTAAAAAAAAGAAGGGGTCCCAAAGAGTTAAGATATGCCTTGATGATACAAGCCTTTTAGTCTTGCAATAAGAAAAAACACTTTTCACTGAAAAATGTCTTTGCAAGACACGGCATTTGCACAATGATGAATGAGGAAGAATTAATGAGCAGTAAAAGTAATTGATCATTCACTAGCTCAACCAATGTAGCAGTATCTGCCCCCTTTTTTTGCGATTCTGGGGGTTACTACAGTAAAACCTCGTTATAACGAAGTTGAAGGAGCGATTGTAATTATTTCGTTATAACCATTAGTTTGTTATAGCCAATGTCCATTTCTTCCCTATTAGCAAGCAAGGGGAATTATGATTGCTTTGTTATATCCATTAGTTTGTTATATCCCATTTTGTTATAACGAGGTTTTACTGTATAAATTAGATTCGGAGGATGTTTTTCGGAATTTATTTTTATTGAAAATTATGAATTTACTGAAATTTACTTTTGTTAAAATTCTGAATACTCCATAACTAGGGATGCCGCGAACCACCCTAGGTTCGAAATCAAAAGGTTTCAATATTTTCGAGCCGAACTGATGTTCGGATTCGAAATGTTTTGATATTTTCGACCGTACAGAGGTTTGAATTCGAAAAATTCACAACTTTCAAAAATCGTGGAGTTTTGAATTCAAAATGTTCGAAGCTTTCACGGTTTCTAAAATTTTGGGTTCGATTATTTCGAATATTTTTTAACTTGAGGTTCGAGAAATTCGAAGATTTCGAACTTTCCTAACTTGAAATTCGAGAGAATCGAATAATTCGAACTTCTTGGGATCTGAAATTCGAAAAATTTGAATGTTTCGAATTCTTATGGACATAAAGTTTGATCAATTCGAAGATTTCAAGTTTCTTTCTATATAAAGTTTGAAAAGTTTGAAGGTTCCGGTTCTCTTTTAGGGCTAAACTAAAAAAAAAAAGGAAAAAAAACTTCGAAGGTTTTGAATTTATTTCAAGTACAAGTGCGCAAAGTTCGAAGTCCGGTTTTCATGTTCCACCACAGTTTCAGTTTCAAGTAACGTTTTCACGCCTCACTGGTTTTCTCAAAATCAGGATTAGACAAGTTCGGGTGTGATATTTAGACTGCGCGAAGTTGGTCAGGCAATTAAATGAGACGACGAGTGTCCCGGATGTGCTGGAATATTTGCCAGTGCAGAGTGACGTGTGACCATAGATCAGTAATTGTGACCGCCAGCCCGGGGGGGTCTTTAACGTGCATCACGCGGTAGTGATAACACGAACGCACTGTTTAACGATAGTCATCCAGTTCAAAACGGCCAGGGGAAGGCAGGTGGCTGAGGCTCAGAAAAACCTTGAAGCGATCTGGCAAACTGCCTCCCTACCCCCTCGCACGCTGGTAGTAATCCGATCGAACACCGCCCGAATGACGCTGGCATATCGTAAGTTTAGTTACCGTATTTACTCGCATATTGGTCGATACGTCGTATAGGTCGACCCCCTAACTTCGGGACCCCCGAAAAAAAAAAAAAGTTGAAAAATATAATACCGGGATTCGCGTATTGGTCGACCCCCCAGTTTTGATGAGGCGATTTTTGAAAAACAGGTCGACCTATACGCGAGTAAATACGGTAGTTTGTACATGATGCAAAATCCTGAGTCTGGAAATAAAATTTGAAAGAAAAAGTGTAAGAAGACAGAAAAAAGGTGACAGGACAATGCCTCAAACTCAGCTCTATGAAATTTGAAAGAAAAAGTGTAAGGCATAAAAAAGGGGACAGGACAACGTCTCAAACTCAACTCAGCCGAAAACTCAGCTCAGGACAACGTCTCAAACTCAACTCAGCTGAGTTTAAGACATTGTCCTTTCCCCATTTTTTTTCTTTTTACACTATTCCTTGGGAATTTCATTCCCAGTCTAGGGATTTTGCATCATGATCAACATACACCAGCTCGCCTGCACCTTGACAATTTTTTAGTTTCTAATTGCTTTGGAGGTTTATTTCCCGGGATGAAAGAAACACCGAGCAAAAAACACAGAAGCTGACACAACTTGAGGTCGAGGTGCGTTCTACCATACCAGTGGCGTCGGAAGAGGAAAAACGGGGGGGGGGGGGGGGGGCTCTAGTCTTTCCCCTTCCCCAGATATTTCGGACTGTTAAAGAAAACAATACGGGAAAGACGGCATGGTCGAGCTTATTTTAATCTGAAATTATTTATGCATATGTATAGCTACTGTCGCTCTTGATCACTGCATAAAAGATTGCGTAGATGGTCATTGTTAGAAACTCGTTGTCAGAAGGCACTACTCGTCACATCCTCGGTGGTTCGGACGTTCAAAGCTATGTCTTTTCTACCTAAATAACTGTGCCATTGGTAAAAAATAATAAAGAAATAAACATAACAATAAAAGCAGAAATAAAAAGCTGGAGAAAAACAAAAACTATCAAGAACCCACCAGAAGTGTGGTATTCTTGCATATTCAGAGGCCCAGAACTACGAAACAAGTTTCTCCTACCAAAATGTGTACAGGCAAAAGAAACACGTCCCAAAAACGTCAAACAAAAAAAAAAAATTAAAATTTTTTTTTTTATAATGTGCTGAACTAGAGCAATTATTTTGTATTTTGCAGATGGTAATGATATGTACTTTACATTATTGTATTGATATGTACTGTACATTATTTCGTGTTCTGCAGATGTTAATGATATGTGCTGTTTGTGGTGTTAATTTAAATGCGATACGTTATGGCGCACCGTGCATTCAAGAGGGCACCCATCAAACCACTGTGCCATCTTGGCCGCGAGGCAGCTAAGTAGCTGCCTCGCCTCAGACACGATCACATGGTCGTGTCGCCGCGGGGTCGATCGGGATCTCGAATTCGGCTCCCGACGTGCCGCTTTCTCCCCTAGCCACTGGATGGCGCTGCAGGCGCCCCATGGCAGGCGAGGAGGTTTCTCCTCGCCCATCGATCGATATATACTCGGTAGACAGGGGGCGAAGGGTCTCTTAGAACTTCAGACGAGACCGAGACGCAGGCAGGTGGGTGGCAACCGGATCTAGGATATCGCGGGACACGAGGCCTGGGGGCCTTCTTTGTGTTTAGCTTTTGGCTTAACGCGCATTTGTAGGAATTCGCGTACCGCCGCCGATTCGCCACTTCCCATGTGGTCCGTCAACAACCCGAGTCCAGCCTTATTCTTTCACGGGAGCGGGATTCCGCTCCCCGTTTATTAGTACAAAAACACAACGCTACAGAACACTCAACCTAAACTACAAATACACGCGACATTACAATTTGTAGGAATTAGCGTACCGCCACCGATTCACCATTTCCCACGTGGTCCGTCAACAACCCGAATCCAGCCTGGTTCTTTCACGGGAGCGGGATTCCGCTCCCCGTTTATTAATACAAAAACAACGCTACAAAACACTTAATCTAAACCCGAAGTTCTAAAAGGCCCTTTGCCCCCTGTCTACCGAGTATATATCGATCAATGGGCGAGGAGAAACCTCCTCGCCCACCACGGGGCGCCTGCAGCGCCATCCAGTGGCTAGGAGAGAAAGCGGCACGTCGGGAGCCGAATTCGAGATCCCGATCGACCCCGCGGCGACACGACCATGTGATCGTGCCTGAGGCGAGGCAGCTACATAGCTGCCTCGCGGCCAAGATGGCACAGTGGTTTGATGGGCGCCCTCGTGAATGCACGGTGCGCCATAACCTCAAACAATTTAGACGAAAAAAATTACTAAGTTTAGGGCATAATTGCCCGTAGATACATGTTTGGATATTTCTTCGAAACTCGCCTTGAACACCAATAATCATATCTTAAGACGAAACTTTCCTAGGCTATACATAGAGCATTGTTAAAAAGTTTAACATCCCTACCATAAATAGCTTTAGCTATAGCGCGCTTCAAATATGGCACAAACGACAATTGTCAAAAACCCGTCATCCTTCCTCGCTCCTTCGGGAATCTATTTCTTTAAACCCAAACATGCCAGATGATTGAAATAAACAGCATCGTCTTTTGCAAGGAATGCAGCACCGCATGTAAAAATGCAAAAAAAAAATTACGAATGTACCTCACTGCTTGAATCCAAATGAAACCGCCCACCGGCCTTTCGAAGTTCGACAAACTTCGAACTTTTACCCTAAAGGTTCGAAGTTCATTGAAATTTTGACTTTTCAGGAATCGAAAGTTCGACAATTTTCGAATTCTTTAAATTATTTAAGTTAAAATGTTAGAAAATTATTGAATTTCTTAGCGTAGGAAGTTTGAAAGTTCGAACAGCTTCAAACTTTTTAGTGCAAGAAGTTCAAAAGTTAGAAAATTATAGAATTTTTTAGTTTATCAAGTCCGAAAGTTCGACAAGCATCGAATTTTGCAGTGTAATAAGTTCGAAATTTCGAAAAGTGTCAAACTTCTTAGTTTAATAAGTTCAAAAATTCAACTTCCGTCGAATTTCTCGATATGGAAAGTTCGAAAATTCAAAATCTTTCGAACCTTTCGAACCGCCTGATTAGATCGTCGAACCTTCGGCTCGAAAAAAGTTTGCGGCATCCCTATCTATAACTAGGCGCATATCCAAACTTTGTTTTGGTGCATTACATTTTCCCCATAATTCTGAGTAAAAATAACTTTTGTCTGCGTGCAGTGCATCATAAGAAACTGGGATTTGCCACTTTAATTGTAAGCAATGTTTACAAGAAAATAGCATTATATGTGTTAAATGCCTTAATGCTGTTGGAAGCATAGTAGAGTAGTACTGCTATTAATTTAGAACCAGTACTGCTAGTAGTTTGCTGGATGAAAGTTTTCAGCACAATTACTGAAGCAGCAAAGTGAGATGACATATAAAAGCTCGTCTCACACAGCAAGCATACGAGTCCGTTTGTCACAACGTATGTTTACGCAAACGTAAAAGTAGTCTGTTGACTTTTTTCAGCAGATCAAAACGTGAACCACAAGACAAAGCAGCATCAGTTTCCCAAGGACTGAGAAAGCGCTCACCTCTCCACACAGGGCATTCAGGAGCGAGGTCTTGCCGCTGCCCACTCTACCACAAATACCAATGAGAGAGCCCTGGAAAAGAAAATATACCTTTTTAGGTTCATTTGATAAAAAGAGGTTAGCATAGTGGCTCAAGGTGACACGTGGCGAAGGAATTATGAATGTATAAGGAACTTTTCTTCAACCGTGCACCTCTTCTTTAGGGGCACTGCATCATTTCGTTTGAAATGCCATCACGCATGCGGTCTGATCGTCTGAGCTTACTAGATGGTTGTACTAATGTGCGGTTGCTACACTACTTGGCGGCCCTCATTCCTCTGCAGTAGAGGGGAGGGAGTGTTGGCACACCAGCTGCGCTCCGTTGCTGACACTCTCCCATGACCTTGCTATGGTGTGATTAATACTATTGTGAGCAAGCAAGGTTTTAAAAGGTTTCCTCTATAAAGGTACTAGTTCCAAACGAAACTAACACATTAGTAGTAAAAAATTAATTTCATGTATCTGGCAGTTTAATAATGTTGTCCCAGTCCCACTAATGCGGCTGCTGATTACCTTTGTTATGTGAAGAGAGATGTCCCGCAGGGCTTCCTCTGGTTCGCCGTTGGCCTCTTCCAGGAGCGCTTTTTCACTGGTGTCCCCATTGCAGACATTCCCGTGCTTTGGCTTCGAGCTCTGTACACCCTGTGCAGAAAGAACGAAGGGAATCGCAGAAACTTCAGGTGATCAGTCTAGCGGGTAAACAAATAAAATATCTCGGAGCCGCGCATATGGACCTAGTACACGTGATCTTCTGTAAAACCAGGCATTCGATCAACAACAAAGATCAGCCACTTGATTTTATTTTACAGAGATGTATAAGATGGCTTTGGAAGTGGTCACGAAAAAACACCATTTCCTAAGTTTGTTTTATGTACCTTGAACCTCTCCCTGACAATGTCCACGCTTCTGACGTTGGCTGGAACGCTCTGCCAGGTGAAGGTGGCATCGGAGATGGTCACGGCAAAACGCTGATCCCTCTCGTCAACTTTTCTCGACCACATCTTGGCCTCGTCCAGCTCTAGCAGTTTCTGATGGGAAAATAAAATTGTAAAAATAGGTTTTACATAGGCATATATAAATATTCTATACTTCCAAATAATTGCAATTTCTGACATGAGCATGCTATTCGATTCAACCTCTGAATCAAATACATCATTATTCATTTTGAATGTGAAAGTATTCAAAACTTCAAAACATCCGCTTATAAATACTGCCATGCGATACAACCTTTGAATTTAATATTCCAATGTTTCTGAAATAAGAACAATCTAAACTAATATTATAATATTTTAAGAATTTGCCACCACATACTAGTTTACGTCCATTGACTATATTTCCACCACAACGTGGTGACACTGCAGCAAAGCGACACCCATGCTGGCTGTGCTGCAAGTGCTGCTTTCCGGTAACATAAGGCACTTCTTTCGAGTAGATTCAGACAGATCCATCTAAAAATATCTGTAGCTCTGTTCTTTTACGTGTTCACATTCCAATTCGCTTTAGAAAGTAAATTGTGTGCTGTCACTATTATGAAAGCTTATCTAAGATTTCACTTCACTGATAGACTATAAACATCAAAAGTAGTACTGCAACTTAGAAATTTTTATTTGTAAGGCCAGTATTGCAACACATTCAGTGCCGGCATTTCATGTAGCCATAAAATCGCGGCTGGATCACCTGAAGCCGCAGATCTTCCTGCCCGACCTCCCGAACAAACAAGCAACATTTTCGCCACATCCCCCAGAACTACTACCTGAGCCTGAAATGAACATCTTACGTTGGCCAACGGCCACAACGGCATCCCAGAGCTTCAAGCTATCAAGGCATGTAAGGCCCGCTTCAGACGGGGCAACTTTTCCAGCAATTTTGAGGTTGCTGGCGGGTTGTTCCCTAGCTTTCCCTAGTTCGACGCGAATTGCTGAGATCGGGTCCGGCTCGAACAAGCGAGCAACTCGGAGCAATTCGAAGACGTTTGAAGTGGCTGCAGCCAATCAGGGACGCAATATTTTCACGTGACACCCCTGTGGTGGTGATGATGACAGCTAAAGACTTAGTTCTGGTTTGAAATGGATCGCTTTTGGAAATAAACATTTTCAGAAAAATTAGTATTCTCAACGCCGTTCAAACATATAAGAACACGTTTTTAGCGCGTAGCTGGCAGTCTAAATAGTGAAAGAAAATCAAATTTAATGATGATGATGGCAGGTTGGAGCAATTCGATGCTGCGTGTGAACGCGGGCGGCCTGTGTTGCTGGTGTTGCGACGTCAAGTTGCTGGGTGAAATTGCTCCGTCTGAAGCGGGCCTAAGCGCACGCCAGGCTTGAATACTTTTCCGACTGTCGTTGTGACCATTCAGTGGATGGGATCATCAGCAGCAATATTCACAAAACGTTCCATCTTTGCCTGGGTTTTGGTCTAACCGCCGCACTTCATTTTCAATCTTTATTTTCAAAATGTGCAAATGTTCAGTGATGTTTTGCATAGATGTTTGCCCGCATCAGAGTTCTGCCCAGACATGTCCCCAGGGGTGATGAAAACAGAAGCTACTGGCGACCAGGTGATGAGACTCCACGCATGAACATGAAAAAGCGCCAATGCATTTGATTTTAATGTTTCCGGGGGAGCTGTGATTTTGGCGTCAATTTTGAGCGTGTGCAAAAGGGAACACGGGCAACAACACCGAAAAAAAAAACTGTCTGGCACTACTAAGGGCTCCTGAAAAGTAAAAGAATTTTTTTTTAACAGTCTGGTTGGGACACTTGTGATAAAACAATTAATTTTACACAAAAAAATTTTTTTTACAGCAATATTAACGGCACGAGACGCGATTTAGTTGGTGGTCATCTCCTTTCTAATTGTTTTCTCTCTTGGCATTTCGGGCATGTGGAGGAGAGGTGGATTGGAAATAAACTTGTAGCTGAGTTTGAGACCTGTTTGTTTTTTCTGTTACTTCTGCTCTTCAAAAAAAAACCCAATCTCAGGGTAAACGACGAAATGGTTGACTTCCACCAGCTAGCCTGTACCTTGACTCTTTTCTAGGTGGATTGGCTTTGCCTTCACGTTGAGGTGGAAAGAGCAAATGACCAATTCATGATGTCATGGACTTTGCACACAGAATTTCAAATATTTCTCTCGCCGTCAATATTGCTCTAAATTTTTTTTTTTTGCATAAAATTTATTTTTTGACACGCATGTCCCTCCTAGATAGTTTAAAAAACACATTTTTCTTTTCAGGGGCCCTTTAAGGGAATGTGGCAAGATTATTTAGCAAAATGAACCATCGGAAGAAACATCCCTCAAAAGACCAAGAAGGAAATTGTGTACCGGCGCGGCCGAGGCACGTGCCAGAACCCACCGACGATGACGACGATGTGCGCGCAGATGACATGGGGCCGACTAACAATCTGTTCTAATGTTGCGATGGACAACACAGAAAATTACACTCAGTAACAATATACAAGCAATAAAGGAAGACATAAGATCCGTCCTTGCACTGTACTGCGACCCCTTCAGGTGTCGTCGACATGGACGAGCATTGAAACGGACGAGGCTAAAAGCAGCCACATTTGGCCTCCCTTACCGCTCATTCACACTGGAAGCGGATCCGCGTTCGCAAAGCGGTTGCGAACGCGGTTGTATAAAGATCCAGTACAATTGCACGCGCACCTGAGGTCATCGAGTGCGCGTGCAATTGCCCTGGATCTTTATACAACCGCGTTCGCAACCGCTTTGCGAACGCGGATCAGCTTCCAGTGTGAATGAGCGGTTAGCCCCATCCGTTTCAGTGCACGTTCGTATTTGACAACCTACAGAAGAACCACAATACAGCACAGAGATGAATCTCACGTCCTCCTTTATTGCTCAACCGCCCAACAACTGCCGTATGCCGGCCTGCCAACGTCCCCTCGGGTGTGGCACCTCCATCGTTCCGACGCTGCCAAGTGGAAGTATGGTGCCTGGAGCGTGCCTTCGACCTAGCGTCTTCACCGTCCTAACTTGCTCACGCATCAAAAGTGGTCCCGAAGCGGCAATGAATGACGTCTCAAAAACCGGAGTGTTATTCCGTCAAACATCGCAATCCTGGCAGTTGGTAGTAGAAGTTGCAGCAAAAAGCATGAGCAAACGCGGCTGTCGCCGTCGTCGCGGCGTCCCAACTCCCGGCTGCCGAAGCTTCCGTGGACCGTCCAGCTGGAGAGCGACCCGCGGCAGAACGGGCGTCTGCCACGTCCACCGCCTCTGCTGCAACACCGCCAAGACCGCGGCCGGCAACGGTGTGACACTTCCGCGACGTCGTCTTGCGGAAATCGAGGGACCGCTTTTTGGACGCAGTAAACATACCGGTCGGAGATGCGTTTAAAGGCACCACGGCAAAGGCGTTCGCAACTGACACCGCCCTGGCTGACGAGGAGAACACACCTGCATCCGCTGCAGCGCCACCTTGGCCTCCGTGACGGCCCGTATGGCGTAGGGAAGGGTACCGATGGAGAAGCCCATGCCGTTGAAGAGGGCGAAGATGGTGAAGGCCCGGGAGGCCGACAGCTCGTTGCCGCTGGCCCCGTAGCCGAGCAGTGTGGACACCGTCGCCATGATCAGGATGACGGGCGTCACGGTCGTCGACAGCGACTGCAGGAAGTTGCCACGCACCAAGATGCTCCGCTCCCCTCCGCGCACGTCTGCGGAGAACGACGACGGAAGGCAAGTGAGGTTAGTGGAACTAAATTGGGGGGTTTTACGACCCCCAAACCAACAAAGAGCGTCTGGCGTGCACCGACAAAGGATCGAGGATTTGCTTTGACCACTCGGGAATCTTTGGACATTCCACCAAAATCTCCGTCAGAATGCAGGCACCTCGGCCAGGATTTGAACCCGTGACCCAGAGATCCCTAGGCCGGCGCTCCGCCTCGGAGCGACCGAGGCAGCTAAGGAATGTGAGGTTGATAGCACCTTTATAGGGAAACTCTGGTCAGTATTTTTGAATTTGGGATTATGATTGTTTTTAGCTAAAGCAGTGTCCCCAAATTACAAAGCATAATATATATATATATATTTTTTTTTTTTCCATCCTGAGTGTAGTTTTTTAGATACCACGGCTTCATTTTGGTCTCGGGCACCTACGGCAGAACCAAACCTATCAGCTAGGGGGATGGCAATACTGATCATCAGCTGTACAGCCACGACATGACAACAACGTGGTGCTGCAGTACGCGGTACAACCAACTGCAGCTCCACCACGTGACATGACGTCACGGGGTGCTGCGCCAGTGTTCCTTGACTTGGAGCTAACCTGCTTGCTGCCCACTGCATCTTTGAAATCGGTTTTAGTGGAGTGCACGGCTATTTCGGCTGTGAACATATTTTGTGCCACTAAAGCGATACCAGTCATTTATTCTGATTTTGTTTTTGACCGGGTTTGCCCTTTAAAGGGCAACTCCAGTCCATACTTTCGATTTTGGGATTATGACTGTTTTTAGTGCAGTCAGGCGTCCCTGAATTGCAAGGTGTAATTTTTTTCTCGTTATTGTGCGTAGTTTTAAAGATATCGACGCCTCAAAGTTTTGTTTGGGATGCGGCCAACAAAACCGAAACTAGCCGCTCGAGGCCCCGGCAACACTGGAAATCGGCCGCTATGTGAACGTGACGTCAGGATCGTTCTCGTTCAACGAGTACGCAGGCCGAGCGCCACCTACCTCTGTTGCGCTAGCCGCCTAAAGATAGGAAGCACGCTGATTTTGTTTTAATTCTGTATTCGTGGTAGTTATCCACAGCATATAGAGCAAGAGTTCGTGCGTATACTAAAAAGCTAGCGACTGGAAAACCCGTGAACTCGTTCGGTGCCGTACTCGGCGGCCACTGCCGTGCGTGCTCTATGCCGTCGCTTGAATACCCAAAAGCTAGCGACTGGAAAACAAATAAACTCGTTCGGTGCCGTACTCGGCGGCTGTCATCGTGCGTGCGGTCTTCCGTACTCGTCACTAGGCCTAAATTGACATCGGGGCTCCGTAAATGGAGCGGCGTTGCTCTACGCCGCGCTGCCAGTGACGCACAGTACTGGGGGCACTCTCGCTTTCACGCTGCGGGTCAGTCCCAGACACGAAGCTTTGAGGCTCTCCGGCGTGGGCCGCGGCGCCCGAACACACGTGTGCTGGGCTGTACAAGTTGGGTTTTTTTTCGTTCTTTTTTCCACGGGCGCGTAAAAGCCGAAGTCTAAAGTCCACTCGCCGAACAGCGTTCACCCACACCTTCTCCAATTTCCAATCCGTTGGAAACTTGTGAAAAAGCACCTCCGGGTTGCGCAGCGGGTTGTTTGAGCAGCCCACAGCATTACAAGTTGTACTCGGCATCTTTCGAGGAACAGCTGGGCAGTCTTGGGCGCACCGAGTTGCTCGCTAAAACGAGTCATAAAGTCCTCACAAGCAAATAAACAAAAGGCGATACCGAAGCTACACGGGCTACAGATAAAAGCAACGGCTAAACACGCAAATAACAAGCCGAAGTAGCGGTGGTAGCGGCTCAAAAAAGCACACTTCGCGCAACGCCCGGGCCGGAGGAAAAAAAGAGAACGATGCGGACATCACGGCCCAATGTTGCTTTAGCGATCGGCAACCTGCTGGCGGCCCGCTAAGGAGCAGCGGCTCGCGGCGGGTCGCATTTTTGTTATCGGCATTAGTTGAGAACGCGGCGTCCTACGGACGTAATATTTTGGCTGGGGTCGTATTTTGTGTCACTGCAGCGATACCAGTAATTTATTTCATTTTGAGTTTTGGCCGGAGTTGCCCTTTAAGGCAGCATCTACATCACTGGGTGTTTTAGCTGGCTGCTTTAATGAGCCATCATTAAAGACTAGGAGTTGTGGCAGCCTTTTGAATGGTGGTTAACAACGAGCATGCGGATGTTTCCATTTGGTCTAACTTGTTTCGAAGACAACTGTATTAAAAAAAAATCTAAGAACTATACAAGTCAAGATTTAATGTATCAAACATGTTCTCAGTGCAAAGAAAGGAAAGAAACACTTGTGAGTTCAGATTCTGAGTGCCCATCACTGGAAAACTCACCTGCCACCTTGGTTATGAATGGAAGCTCCCAGGCATACATCTTTATTAATCGAATGTTGTTCACCACTTCTGCCATCAGGTGGACTCTTGCATCGGTTTTCTTGACTGCCTGCCTCCTCAGCTTGGCAATTATTCCTGCAATTCCCCCCTGTTTGGACGACAAAACAAGGCAAGTCAGTTTTTAGAAACTTGTATAAGAGCAAATTAAAGTCCACAAACAGCAACACTAACACGTCTTTCTGGTTTAGCATGCATGCACACTTTGCAATGGGCCCTAAAGAAGCTTGCTTCATTAGGTAGTCACAAATAAGCTCCATAACAACCAATAAGGCTTGGCTTTGATAAATGCAAACAAGTCGAGAATATTCAAACACACAAGTCGAAAATATTCGAACAAACAAACAAGTCGAGAATATTCCTATAAGTTATAAGAGGCACAGCAATGATAAATAATTAGCACAGCGATGATAAATAACCGGCACAGCGATGATAAATAATCAGCACAGTGATGATAAATAATCATTTCCTCTATTTGACAACAAAAGCAAAACGTCCCAATCATCCCTCATATAAATACCTTCCTTCGTCAAAGAACAGAGTCGCACAGTTATCAGGGATTTCATTTGAATAAAAAGATTGGATAACATGCATCCAGCATAGCCAACAAATCTGAGATGCCAGACAGCTGTCGCTTGGGCAACCTCATCAGAAATAATCTTCCTTCATAAATTAATCTGGTCTGTGTTTTTTTGAAGCTTACAATAGCATCTCACAGTCAGGGTTCAGTTTTCCACTGCCAAACCTGAACCCGGCCCAAGTCAGAAACATGTTCGGCAATGTTTCCACCTTTCCAGGGACCTCTCCAAACTAAAACGCGATTCCAAACAAAGCATGGAGGCAGTAAAAGCCGATAGGAACAACTTGACCCAATAAATAATCTATGCTTAGAGTATCTACACTCCATTGCCCGATTCTACTGAAGGTGCAGGAATTTTAGTGCTTAAAGTAGAGCAGGAGCAACTGGCAATTCTCACAACTCGAAAATGTGACTTCCCAAGCCTTAGACATGGTGCCGAGAAGCTCAGGCGATACTGTTCCCTCTGTCGTCCACTGTTTCCACAATTCAGCAGGACGGAAAGCTATTTCTTGCAATTTCAGATAAACCTTAGAACAGCTGGCAACAATGTTAAGCTGCCTTGCCAGGGGGAAAAGGAGGCAGGGGCGCGTGCTTTTAATTATTTTTTTCCCGATCATCCAAAGGTTTCCTTGGCGATCACCCCCATTGCCTGGTGATAGTTACAAAAATGTAATTGAAAGAAAATTGCCTTAGAGAGGGAAGGGGGGTGGGGGGGGGGGGGGGGGAGAAACCTTAATTTTTAGTCTTTAGGCTAGGTGGCACAAGCTACTGCCCGTTTTAAGAGGTAAAGTCGTTAATATCCATGCATCCGTCCATGGCCGATGAGTCGCCACTCTGAGGCATAGCTTATTTACTAGAGGGAACCTTCTAAAAGATTCAAAATGGCAACTGGAGCATGGCTAAGAGACTTTCCCGAGGGACAGGCCCTCGAAGTTTGGGTCCTCCAAGAGCTCCCTTTCCGAGGAAATGCGAAGAGTTCCGACAAGGGCTCACCATGATTGGGTAGAAGAGCAGGATGATGAAGTTGCCCATGAGGGCCCAGGGTCCAATCAAGCAGCAGCTGTAGACCAGGGTGAGCAGGAACATCACTGGCGTCCCCAGCATCAACATGCCGTTCATGGCCGCGTCAAAGATCCGTTCCATGTCGTTGGTCACGTGGTTCACCACCTGAACACATATTTGCCGTCATCGTGCGAGAGCTAAACGTCAAAGAAAAACTATGCGACATTCGCAACAAATACACTCAAACCCCGTTTATGTGTTTTTCATGGGACCGCAAAAGATCATATGATCTGGGAAAATGCGACAAGGAATAACACTCCCAGATGAAAATCAGTCTGCCTGCAGCTGGATTATGGAACTGCTCCCAGTTCGATTCAGCTGAAAATGATACAATGCAGCTGAACAAAGCTGGGTTCGGCTAAGACCAGTTCCATCATCTCCGAGTGGACTGATTTTCACCTGATACTTGAGGGGGATTAAAGAAGAGATAGGAGGGAACTCTCACGGAGCAATTTACGACAGTTCATGTGGACTTTAAAGGCTGTGGGGAACAACCATATTCATTCAAACATAGGTAAGTTGAAGCTATTCCTTTAACTCTTCCTTAAAATTAAGGGTTCACCTATAATTCCAATAAAAAAAATGTTGGTTCAGAAGAGTGAGCAAAATTTACGAACCCGTCAAGCTCGCCCAAATGCTTCCCTGCTTTAGCCGCCGCTCCTACCACACCAGTGCGATGTGGTGAAGCTCGGCACGTGACCCGGTGCAAAACGTCGAAACTTACCTTGAGCGAGCCGCGCACAGCGTACGGTTCTGAACCCCAAAGTCCACACAAAATTAAACTACCAGAACTAGGAGAACCAAGCACAAAATAAAGTGTGCGCATACGCTGGAGAAAAAGATGGAAAGATAAACATGACTATTGCAAAAGCCCAAACCCCTTTCGAGCCTAGTCCGAGGCCACGCGTGCTTGGGCAAGAATTGCAAGATGCACAACACAGTGCCAAGAGGGAAATGGATGAAAGAGAGGAGGAGCAGAGTAAAAAGAGAGGGTAGAAACAGTCAAGCAAACTACGGTAACGTCTCGGCAGCATCGGGAAACTTTTTTTTTAACATGATGACCGGTCTTGAAATTGAGCCACACTCAAATTTTAAAGGCTATATTTAATTGAATGTATCCTCTTTTGCCTAAAACAGATTTCTCTGAAGATTTCTCCAAATATGTGTATTAACACAAATCTTACATAGTACCAAGAGTGTATGGTGGCAAGCGAAGCCTAATAACAGTGAAGACCAACTTACCTGTCCGGAGTGCTTGTCCTCAATGCGAACCTTCAACATTCTCCTGTACAACAGAAGTTGGATCGCGCCCTGGAGTCTAATTGCTGAAACAAAGAAAACAAAGTGGTTACTCTTACCATTAAGATTCCATTTTACACACCGTAAAAAATAAGCTTTCGTCTTTTTTTTTCCCTTTTTTTTTAATATTGTTGATGTTGCAGTGATTAAAGATGCTGTTTATAATGCTCTTCTAGTTCCTTCTTCACCCTTAGAGGGACCAAGAAATTATCTTTTCCCTTTGGCTATAACTTATGTCGGGATAAACCTATCATGTTCGTGAAGCACGAAGCATGTGTCAGCCTTTGTCTTCAAGTGATGGTTCTTTACAAAGAAAGAATTCATGAGGCTCACGCTCCTTTTCCTTCACCGCGCATTTTCCCCTCCACAGACGGTCAAGCCGCCTTATTCACATGCAAAGAATCAGTTATCCCGTAGCGAATTAATGATCCTGCTCAGTGGGGCTCGCCTGGGGTAGTGCGCGATGGGGCCGCAAACCTCGGACGTAGCAAAACAGAAAACAAAATAAATATATTGCTTCAGCAAACAGTCCCTTCAGGCTCGGTCGTGTCACATGACGGTCTTAATGATGTCCTAACGAAAAAGTTTTATAAACGAGAAAAGGATTGCCCGGCTTTCCGCCAGCAACTTGCTCTTCATGCTCCCTTTGTTGAGCAGAAATCTCCCAGGTCTGGCCTTGTCTGCAGTTTTCAAGTTTTCGAGCTGAGATTTGCACCAAACCTACTTTACCGTGAACAGACCGTCCTGGCACGGTGGGGCGCAATTCTTGCTCGGAGCATGTCGTGCATAATAAGCCCACAGCCTCTAGCAGCCTATACACCTTTCCCAAAAACGCTCCCAGGCTGCCACCATGTTGCTGATGCTGATGCCGCTGGCGACACTCTCGCGCCCCCTATCAGCTAGAAATTTTCTGCCACTTTCTTGGACTGTGGAAACCCACTCAGCGAGATTCTATAGCTATGTTTTGCGGTTTTGCATTCAATGCTTTCTGGCCCCTCATGAAAGTTTCCACTTAATTTTTCTGATGCGTGCTGCATACACTTTCTGTGTTATCTTTCACCGTGAGAAATAGGACTGGTAAGCGCCTGCCATTCAAGCGTTCCTGCTCGACATTCATGGCAAATGAAAGAGGGGAAGGGTGTTGAATGGCCCTCGACACGATTTTGCAAACGACAACTGTTCTCCCCCTCCCAAAGATAATCCGCGTGTAGTCCTTCTTTGTCATAGCCAAAAATAGTTGTTCAGGTTGGAGTCAGTCGCGCCCGCTCCTTTGTCGTGGTGCTGGTGTGAAAAAAGGAAGTTCTCCCCAAAACGTACCCCAAAACGAAGTCATCTTGGATTCCGTCCGATCGTCAAGACGTGACTGTCGTCGACTGCGACTGTGTAATTTGAGATCTTTTTCAAATAAATTCTTTTTCAGATAACACTGCATCGTGTGGTATGTACAATATATTGTTTGAATGTTAACACTTGCTAAATTGTATGTCCGTGTCCTGTCCATCAGTAAACACGTTATTTGTGACGTGAAAAATGCATGCCTTTCAACTATCTTCGGTTGAAAATTATTTTCAACAGCTAAGCGCTTTGTTGTTTAACACGCGGCTAATCGGGCGGCGCCGTCAAAACTTATCGTAATGAAACAAAACGATAACTAACATTCCAGTCGCATTCGTTCTGTCGCACACATACCCAACAAAAATAGTTTACAGTTTTTTTGTTTTTTTTCAAATGTGGTACAATGCTTTCTCAATGTACTCGGGAAAATACATACACCATAAAACGCATGATACAGCGGAAAAGACAAGAATTTAGCCGCCAGCGGTGTTTAAAACTGCGCCTACGCAGGCTGCGCTTATCGAAATTACAGTCCACTCGGTTAGGGTTAGCAGGGACGTCGGTGAGAGTCTGGCCTCAAACCCAGTGACTGGGCTTGAAAACTGTTTCTTGCACCTGGGGTCAAGTATTTCTTGGAAAGGTGTATAGAGGCAATAGTAATACTGCCTGCTTGTGCCAAAAGTGGCTGCAGGAGGCACCCAATCTGTTATCCTGAATTTATCAGCAATCGTACGGGAGCCTTCATTTTTATCTCTGCGTGTCACTTCAAACATGGCTCAATGCCCAATACTAAATGAAAAATTACCCAAGTAAAAAAAGTGACAAAATGTTTCTTTTGGGAGAATAAAGACATACAGCAGTTTAAGTTCTATCGAATTTCGTTGGGCTTGTAAAATACTTCATACCTACAAATTGGGTCAGATTTGTGAAACTGGAGACATTTACTTCGAACATACAAAATGCCCGAGGCAGTGATGCAATGTATACTTGCGTAGGAATGCGAAGGGAAATACCCAACACAAAAATGATGCAGCAGGCGAACAGCAGCAACCCGAAACTGTAAACGGCCTCACCAGTGTGGGCACCGATGATCCAGGACATGCTGAGACAGCCCGATCGCACAAGCTGGGTGCCAATCAGGCAGCAGGCCAGAAGCACCCCAGTGCTGGTGCTAGACTCACTATCCTCGAGGAAAGACAGGATCTCCCGGAGCAGCACAGCCTGCAGAGGAACAGCACATGTCCTGGCGTTATATCGCTGAGAGAGAGGAGGTCCCTGGCAAACGTACCAAACCAAATGAGATATTAGTGTTTAGACAATGTGAGGCCCGTCTGCCTTGAGGTGTGGTGACAGTGGTTTACGCTGTAGATGAGAAATTTAGCCAGTGCGATACCACTGCTAGCCTAAGGTCTTCCAGCTTAGTTTATCTATGCCATAAGCATGAAGAAGACAAAAATTTCAGAAAACTTTCTTGCAGTGTCCAAGCACGGAGAGCGGGGTCAGGTTATGTAAGAGATGATAAGCATTGTGAGGCAGTAATACACAACTGCACGCCGGTACGATGCTTATCCAGATCGAAACGGGTAGGGGTGTGAATTGAGCCCAGGATCCCTGGGATCTGCAACGCGAGCTTTCACCCCAAATGCCCCGGGCTGTGGTGCATCAACACATTGCTCGTCACCCTCAACGCAATACTTGTCAGATAACTAACTATATGCTGCAACAAAAAGGGTGACAACTTAGACAGACCTTCATTTAAATGCAGGATACACAAACTGTGCATTAAACATTCCTTTTCACTAGTGTACCATCAAATAATCCCCCAATTTTTCTGCCTAGTGTGCTGAAACTTTCCTCCAACATGTATTTCAGTAGTCAAATTCACCTTGTGAAATCTGTGGAAACTGTGGTTCCGCGACGCTTGCGTGACATTCACAGGCAAGTGTAATGACCGAGAGAAAAATGCCCATACTCTCCCCTTACATTTTATTTCCCTTGGATCCTCGAACAGGAGAACAAACGCCCGATCCTGATTGGCCACCGATCCCTGGTGAGCATGACAAAACTGAGGGGGTTGGAAAGACAGAGTCTTTTGAACTAGGGAACTTTTCCCAGAAACCACGAGCATGCATGGAAAGGATCCTAAAACATAGGCACCTTCAAGTGAGGGTTTCTTCGTCGCTAATATCCTTTGTGGTCGACTACAGTCAAACCCGTTTATAACGAACAGCAGGAAACACTACAATCAGTTCGATATAGCAAATAATTCGATATAGCAAAAAACATTGACAACGAACTTCCATGATGCGTTCGTTGCAAGGCGAGAGCTTCCCTTTCTTTCTCATCTCTTTGCTTCTGCCTTGTAATAATAATAATAATCAAGAATCAAGAATCAAGAATAATTTTTATTAGGTGTCCAGGAACGACCATGCGGTCTTGGTGCTGGCACACCGAAACTTACACACTACAAAAAAGTAGAAAAAAAACATAAAAAAAACTCAAAACATTGAGTAAAAGATATGATACATATAACGCATGCTGACACAAGGATACAATATACACAACAAGGAAAGAACGGAACACAGGGTCCGAACGCAGAGTAGGAAGACTACCACAACAACGGATATACCTTCTTAAAATAATATATAATAACATCACAATCACCGACAGGTTCAGAGAGACCCATACAAGAATCTGAGAGATCTGACAAATTCAGTCACACAAAAAATATCAAGATCACTTCCAATGCCATTATATGCCCGACACATACGAAACATCGGGTCCAAGATATTTAACGTTCGAGGAGAGTAAAAAGACGTTGTCAAACGGGTCGCTCTCCGAGGAACTCGCAAAGATATCTGTGAGAGCAGTTCTGAACAGTCGGCCATACCATGAAGGACTTTGAAAAGGAAAACCAGATCTGCCTTTTCTCGACGGTGATATAAGCTGTTCATTTGTAGGACGTCCAATACATTGTTACCCTTTGATAGAGATGTTCCATCTCGCAGATATCGATATCGATAAATAGATAAAAATTTGTTTTGCACTCGCTCCAGCCTTAGGAGGGTAGTTTTACAACTGCCATTTCATACAGGAGATGCATATTCGAGTTGAAACTTTGTCAAAGAGCGGTACAGGGTTACAAACGTAGTGGGGTTTTTAAATACTCTAGTCGTTCGACAAACGATACCGAGCGCGCGCAAGGCGCAGGTACTTATACGAGCCACATGGCTATCAATTCTCAAGGAGGAGTCAAAAAGCACTCCCAAGTCCCGCACTTCACTAGAACGGCACAATACGTCTGAGCGAACACTGTAAGGGAAACACGTCGTTTGCGTTTTGCGACTATAGGACATGACCTTGGTTTTCGAGCTGTTTAGTAGGAGACCGCTCAGTGAACACCATTTGCTAAATGAGTTTATGTCCTCTTGTAGAAACTTGCAATCTGAGATAGTTCTAATCTCCTTAAATATCTTAATATCATCAGCATATTGCAAAAAAGACGAGTTTACAATCAATAATAATAATAATAATAATAATAATAATAATAATAATAATAATAATAATAATAAACTTTATTTCCTTTTTTCATTACAAAACGAAAAAAGGTGGAAAAGAGGGCAAAAAGCTGCTACTGCAGCTTGACGAGGCCATAGTTCCCATACACACCTTGGCTGAAAAACAGCGTAAAATAAAAATACACTAGACCAAAAAATCAAATATACACCAGCACACCACTCCAATCATTATTGCCACTCAGATACAAACAATTTCGGAACACATGCGTGACACTACACGGTATCATACAGAAAAAGGGATTGTAGTAGTATGTCCGCTAACATTCAATTTGACTTTCCAACGCCCTAAAAGGATTTTTCTTTTTTTTTTTTTGTCATGTGTGCAGAGTTTGTTTTTTCAGCTTATCTCTCCTGAATCGCATCTCTTCGTGAGCAATCGTTTTGGGATGAAATGTTCGTTTTTTTTCTACTTGCATGCAGAGTGTATTTTTTTTTAGCTTTCTCCCCTTCTGAATCTCACTTCTCCTCGCTCAGTTATGTTTGCAACTTGAGCTTTTGGAATTTTCTTTCTTTCCTCCTTTTTTTTGGAAGAACGGACAGGCTAGAAGACAATTTTTTGCGCGTTTTTAGAAATCTCATTGGGGAGAAAAAGTTTGATATAGCCAATATGTTGTTTGCTATAAAAAGTACTTTTTACGTCCATTTTTATTTAAATTTTCTGCGAGTTCAATAGTGACAATAATTCGCGATACGTGGGTTCGTTCTAAACGGGTTTCACTGTACTTGAAACCTAGGACTATTCCAATTCGTTGGTGACCACGAGCATATTTTGTTTATTATTAGAGTAGTAAGTAGTTTTTTCATTATCAATGTGGGACTAATGTCTGACATGTGGTCACACAGCACAGCACAACATGCCATGACGAACCTACTGCGCAGCAGCAACAGCTATAGCAGGAACTGCCACGGTAGATTGTATGATCTGCCGTGGCAGTTCTCATACCGCCGGTTAATTTACGCTCGATACGTAGTTCTGCTCTTACTATTTTTTCTTTTTTTTATTCAGCATTGTTTTGTTCATTTTTTTTGCTTCTTAACTTTCTCTCACGTTACTTACCTGTACGACAGTCCCACCAAATATGATATAGCTTCGCCATTACTCGGAACTTTTCCAAAAACCTATTGCAGTGATTTGATTGGCCTAAGCCATTTTGAAGCACCTTTCGGAGCACCCAAAACAGTGTTTCGGAGCAGCAAAAGTGACCTTTGGAGCGTTTTTAGAAAAGTAACAATATTCATTTTAAGTGCTGGACAAACGAAGGGCACTTTGTGTTATGTTTTGTTGTGATGTGACGTGCTGTGACGGAACTCGCTGTTTGCGTTTTTACTGCTGAGATATCCCACAAGTGCACAGTGCTGTAGGCATTGCCGAGCAATTCCAAAACAGCACTTGCCACCGTTTTACCGGTTCCCAACGTGCCAGATTTTTTTCAAAAGTAAGCGAACGTAAAACAATGGATTGCAAGCGTCCCGGCTGGTACCTCTGTAGTGTAATCATGTTTGCATGCAGGTGAGCGCAACTTCGGCAGGCTTCCAGTTGCACGTGCTTGTCGCGTGAGTGGAGACAACGGCTGTTCGATCGAAACCGAAACTATGCCACTCTGCTACGTCACCAACTGTTACCAAAATTGTATGCAAAATGTAACTGTCCAGCACACGACAAAAAACCAGCACATGCTTGCCACGCTGGCAGCTAAACATGCAGAAAAAAAGAACCTGAGCGCATCGGTGCAAGATATCGCAAGCCAGGGTGCTTGTAAAGTGTACAAACACTTTACAAACATTGCAGCAGTCAGAATAAAGCACCACTGAAAACAGAAGAGGCATTTTAGAGGTTCCATACCAAACCAAAAACAAAAATTAGAGGAGGACGCTTAAGCTTCGCCTTTTAAAAGTGGAACGCAATAGCTAAATATAAACCCCCGCTCCTTTCCAAGCTGTGCAAGCGTGTCTGCATGGCCTAGCTGGTAGCGTGTCTGGCTCGTAACTGAAGGGTCGTGGGTTTGATACAACTCTGTCTAAAATTCTTCGAATCCTTTCTTTTAGGCAAATAAATTACTTATCGACCAATCAGCATTTTCTGGTCCCACCGACATCGACGCCGACACCGGCTTTTCTGTGACACGAGCTCCTTAAAGCTATTGGTTAAAAGGTGACCGCAAATAAAAAGAAGTTTACAGACGACATAAGTCACCTAGCAAAATTCTCTGATGGTGACAACAACCATTGCTGTGCTTGTGCAACAGCAAAATGACAAAACAAAAAACCAAACAGTGGCTTAGCTCGGCTATGCCAGGATATACGTAGCGCAAGCTTAGGTTCAGCTGGTTATTCTTAGCTTTCCTGGTTGTCTAGGATTAGCTTGATTATCATGCTTACTGCTGCTTAAATGACACACACACAGTATACGCATTATGTGACAACTTCGGGACCCGAAGAGTTGAGCTTCTCCGCTCTTCTTATTGCGGAGGAGGCGCCGTGTAACCAAGCTTTCGGTTGCACGTCAAAAGATCCCCAGGTGGTCTAAATTAATCCTAAGTCCTCCGCTGGGGCGTGCCAGATGCCCGTTGTTGGTTTGGCCAGCTGTGCGCCATGTTGTTATGCATCAAGCAACCAAGCTGCCGCCCAGAACAACTGGACAGCGCGAGCCATGATCTCGAGCGGGTGCATGCACGCAGCGCGTGCATCGGGGACTGACCTAGGTGCCATACCAGTCCTGCCCGTTCCGTCACTGCTCCTCGCGCATGCGCAGCACGGCTCTCCAAGAGCCACACGAAACTGCTCAACCTCGGCCAGTGTAGCTTATGCTACAAAACAAAAAAGCAGCCCGAACATTTTGCTTGAGTAGCGTAGAACGAAAGCGTTGAGAATGAACCGGGGACGGTCAGTGTTTTAGGGAGGAAAGAAAGAAAGAACGAAAGCAACACCAGCAGTGTAGTAAAGAAAAAATTAAAGATGTTTATAACTCCCTCTAATGCTTGATTAGAGCGCAGCTCTTGAGGAGGAGGAGGGGAGGGAACAGAGGAGAGTATGCCCCTCCTTCTCCGTACCCTCTCCTCCTTGTCCCCTCCCCTTTCCTCCTCCTCTCCTTCTCCCCTTCCTTTTCCTCTCCCCCTTTTCTATCCTCTCATTCCCCAGCCCTCCTCCTTCCCCTCCCTGCCTCCCCCCTCGTGACATCACTCGTGAAGGCCTCAAGATGTGAAGGTCACGTGAAGGTCGTGACCTTCATGAGCGACCGTGATGTCACTATGGGAAATGTCTCATAATGCAACGCGCAGGTCACGAGTGAGACCCTCGCATTGCATTGTGGGACATTTCCCATAATGCAACGCGTAGTTACGCCGACAGCGACGCCGCTGAAGCCGGAAACGGGCACTTAAGAGCTGCGCTTTAGAAAAGGAGAAGAACTCGAGGCCTCTGAAGTGCATGGTTAATTTATTTGCATTGTTTTATGGCCATTACACACAATCTTATTTGTTTTTGTGGGGCTGGCAAAAAGATGAAAACAAAACAATGGACTAATCTGTAAATATGGCAGTTTTCAGTTTACCCAAGTTTAAACTGAGTTGAATGTGAAAATGCACATCCATCGCAAGCAAAAGCATAAGTATTCAGGGAAATTATTTTTAGAAGTTGCAGACGACACAACTGCTTTGGCGTACAAAGAAATAAAATCAAGAGTACAGGCGTAATACAGCAGACGACGGATGCTTGTAAGCAACAAAGTGACTGACAAAGAGTCGAAAACATACAAAACAAAGCCATAATAAAAATAAACAGCCCGATGGCTTTAACGTAGAAAGAGACGAAAAAAGAAAAACAGAAAAGAACCTAAGGAAACGTAAAGCAAAATTAGAAAGACGGACTCTTTAGCAAAACCGTCCAGTGCTGGCATTTATGAAGCTTAAAGGAAATTAGCCCTCAACTGAATATGTGCATTGTATTGTCGCATAAGAGTTTCATGTCCATTTGCGCAATAACGCTCTCCTTTTAGGATGTGCGAGAAGTAGCAGGTATTCTTTGAAACTTAAATTTCTTTTTGTCAATCAAGTGTATGTGCACATTCACCTCAGCTGCACTAACTCTTACCAAGCAGAAGCAACGTCCAATGATAAAGCTATGAGCTCGGGTTTCTAGCAGTCGAGAACTACCATTAAAATTCAAGAATTGTGTTATAATGCTACTATAAAAATTGTCAGACAAACCAAAGACTGCTGCATGAAGATTGTTTCCAGAAAAAGAATTGAGCGACCATTATCACATTAGGAAGAAGCCAAGATAGTCACATAAAGAAATCAAATATAAAGATGTCACCATTAAAATGGCCAGTTTATGAACAGCAGAGTGCACGAGGTCCCTTCTCTAGGATATCTCAATTGTGCTACTGTGAGACTCAACTATTTTAAAACGTAAAGCCACTACATTTTTTTTCCCCCCTTAGTCATTTTCTTTTTTTGCCTCCCCCTCTTTTTGGTTATTGTTGGTCCTCAGCCTTTCGAGGGTGGGCTATACGGCTCCACACCCAAATAGGTTTGAGACCCCTGCTGAATGAACTCGCTGAATTTTTAATGGCAATTGGCTGTTTAAAATTAGAAGGTGTCTCTTCTAGGTAATTTTTGTATGGAGACAATTGCCTTTCAAGATACGAAACTGACTGTCGGAAAGGAAAATTTTAGCTCGATATGTCCACGTGTAAATTTTTACAGCAGAGCTGTTAAGGGCTAGTTTCCCCAGTTTCGTGTCCGTCACCAAATAAATGCCGACACAAAACTCTGGACAGCTACCGCCATCTATGAGCAATGGCGGCAACCAGCTTGCCAGTTGTCTGGTTGCTGCCATCACTCATAGGTGGCAGCAACCTTTCCAGCCTTTCCACTCTGGCTTTCACCAGAATGGAAAGGCTGAATTTCTCTAAGCGTCGTCCTATAAGTTGTCCTCGAGGTCGTCCTAGAAGTCGTCCTTGAGATCGTCTTAGAAGTCGTCCTTGAGGTCGTCCTAGACGTCGTCCAAGAGTTTGTCCTAGAAGTCGTCCTTGAGGCCTCCTAGACGTCGACTCTGAGGTCGTCCTAGGCGTCGTCCTAGGCGTCGTCCCTAAGGTAGTCCTGGGCGTCGTACTCTAGGCGTCGTCCTCGAGGTCATCTAAGAAGTCGTCCTTGAGGTGCGTGTCTATACCATAGTACAGCTTCGCTGGTCTTCCTTCTTCACCAGAGTGGAGGGGCTGGAAGTTTTTCATAATGATTTTAAGAGAAAAAACTTTCAGCCTTTTCACTCTGGTGAAGAAGGAAGAGCAGCGGAGCTGTAGCTTCTGTTCTCGGCGGGAATCTGAAGCGCTCAAAATCTGAAGCGCTCGACACAGTAGAACTTGAGGCGACAGCGGCTTCGCGGCGGTTGCGGACCCATTCCCGTTACTGCGTACGTCGCCACTCCTTCCGCACCTCGTCTTCTTTCCCCGAAGGAAGGGCATGCGGCCGACCCATCGTGAGTCCAAACCGAAACTTATAAGAGTGTAGGAAACAGCACGGCAAAACAGATGAGGACGAAGAAGAAACACGTGACGAGCGCTGTGCTCATCACGTGTGCTTCTTTGTCCTCGTCTGTTTTACGCGCTGTTTCCTACAATGAATTCCCACCAACTCGCCCAACTATCCATTCTTCTATGATAGCTGAAAAGGTTGCCGCTATCTATGAGCGACGGCGGCAACCAGACTGGTTGTCTGGTTGCCGCCATCGCTTATAGATGGAGGTAGCTGTCCAGAGGTTTGTGTAGGCTTGTGTTGACATTTGTTTGGTACCGGACACGATCCTGGGGAACCTAGCCCTTAACAGCTCCGCCGTAAAAAAGTACTATTTGGAACTATGAGCACATTATAAGGGAAATGAGGCAAGGCCAGATGTCTGCCTTTCACAGATTCAATACCTGATTAACTTGAGACATGAAACAATTACAATAATCATGAAACTGCTGCACACACACAGGGTGTCAGCACTTTCTCCATTTCTTAAAATATTGCCACTTCTACACATTTCAAACTGCTTTTCGAGAACAGAAGTCCGACTACTTCATGCGTAGTATCTGTGTAGCCTTGTACAACCGAGAAAAATAAAAATTGTTATCTCAAAAAGTTTTTGTTTCATGCCTCACATGAACGCCACTAATGTTCTGACATATAAAGAAAATAGGGTTTCTCTATGATGTCGTAACAGCTATGAGAGCATTCAGTCATTACCAACATTACAGAGGAAGGTTAGGTTATGAAAATCAGAACTTCCTGTGTTTGTTTGAAACCGAACTTCCGTTACCTCATAAAAGATGCATGTACTCACAGGGCCAAGGAACTGGAATGTCATGCCGATGCAGATGAGGACTCCCGCGACAATGGCACGTGTTTTGCAGAACCTCGCTGCTGCCATCCAGAACTGCGCCTTCTCCCCTTGCAGTAGCTGTTCGTCCTTCCAAAGCCTCTCCAGCCTAAAAGAAGTGAACATTGCAGATAAAAAACATTTACTACAAGTTTCCACGGATGATCATGCACATTAGCAGCACTTGTGCTGTCAAAAAAGAAAGCAAGTTAGACTTTAGTGTTTAGGCAGCATAAGGTCGGTCTGTCTTTGAGGTATGGCGACACTGGTTTCCACTGTAGAGGAGAAATTTAGCCACTGCAATAAGACTGCTGGCCTGGGGATCTTCACATATATCACACAGTACTGATACACAAATGACAAATGCACCCTTATGCCATGCTCATTCAGATTGAAACGGGCAGGGGTGGGGCACTTGTGCTGTCCAATGCAAATAAAGGCTGACATCCAAATAATTTTTTTTAATACGGGCATTTAGCTGTGAAAGCACTAATGAGTTAACTGCAACTTGTGGTTCTTACTTTACTTTCGACCAGTTTCATTATTAAGGGGGGAGGCTGGTCTTTAAATGGTAAAGAAGTTGAAGAAAATTCACTTTTGAGAAAATGGCTTTTCTAGTATTTAGACATACCCACCCAGCTCTGTGCAAAATATTACTGCTCTATCCAATTTTTAAATATAAAAGAAAAATATGAAGTCTTAATTTCTATGAACATTCAATAGGAATACACATACTTTAAGGGTTTTTCTTTTCTCTCTTCACACCTTTTTCACAAGTACCAATACCTTACAGGCATTTTCTGAAGTTTGTCAAGGACAATATTAACACGTTTGGTGCTATTTTAACCGGAAAGCATGGAGCTATGCGGTGATGCTATTTTTATAGTCTTCCAACTTAAAGTTCTATTCAATTAATTACTTTCTTAAATAATGAGAGAGCATCTCTTTTACACTATAATTACAATCATTTTTAAGTAACATAACCCTCTCAGTTAAGATCTAAAATAGCATCACCACACAAATTACACCTTTGTGAATGCAGTTGCATTAAAAAGTTTGATAATTTACGAATATTTTTTCTTTAACGACCCGTAACAAATGAAATAATCCCAAATTAGACCGATCTCCCATAACTCGGGTTCTAATAAAGATATTCAATATGTGATTGCATATTTGGAATAGGTGCGAGATGTGTTATACCAGTGTATAATATGGTAAGTATTCTTTTTATAAATAAAATTACTTTAAAGCCCCACATCACCCCTTAAATTTTTCGTGGACTATAACAGGCACCAATTCAATAATGAATTTTCATACAAAAAAGATGCTGAGAAAGGGATGTCTCATATTGTGTTTCATTTTAGGTAGAAGTGAAGATGAAGCTGCAAACAAAAACATGTTGCTCTGATTGATGTTTGCACTGCATGAGCGTGCATGCTTGGCAGGGACGTGGAAATCTCACAGCTTGCTCTAGTAGTTCTGCTATGCTAGCACTCACAGTCAAACAAAGTATTAAGCTCTAAATTTATCTGCTGGGTGGTTTGGATGAAAAAACACATCAAGTCATGAAAATCTTTCCTGAAAGATATAAAGCTGAAACTACATTCAAAAGAACATTTAACTTCCTGACACCATAATGGAAGCAGGTTGAAATTGTGCAAAGCAGACAATAGAGTCTGTCGAGCACACTTCGCAGGTTAGTTCTCATTACTGCTTGCTGGTGTCACAAGTTTTCTTGAGTGTGATAAAAAGTATGAGAAATAAATTCTCATAGCTCAAGGAAAGTGGCACAAAATGAGCGTAGAAACACCAGTTAGTGTATGGGTCATATCAAATGTCTGCCCTCCATGCCCTACCTAAATGGAAAACATAGCTATGGCACTGACTATTGCTCACTGTTTCACACAAGGATATAGATAACACATACAATCATAGCAAAAGGATAAAAGAAACAGCATAGCAATCATTGCATGAATTAAGAATTGAAAAGATTTCCCCACACAACAGCTTGTGACAAATGTATATATTTGCCAAACAAGCAACTCCATCATGCCTTCTACATTCTTTTTTTTTTTAATGTTACAATGTGCTGGAAGTACACAGCGCAACACTGTTAGTGCACATATACTAATGTCAGCACATTTTTGCATTTAATTTCGAAAAGTATTGGCAGGCACAAAATTTTAACGCTCAGGTTTCACTGCACTAGTAGTTTTGATGAGAGCCTTTCGATTCTAAGAGACAAGTTGAAAACACCGGCGATCATTTTTGTTTTAATGCGAAAGCATTAACTATCCCATGGAGTGAAGCCGCGGTGTCTGTAGCCACGTAAAAATGAGACATAAAAACCCGTAACCGCAAAAAACGGCACCTAAATTGGCTGCAACGCGTTATATCGGATGCTTTGTCACAGAATCTGGTGTGGCTGCTCAAAGTCAAAAAGGATGCGCCTCGGAAATAAAAAAACACAAAGAAAAGCACAGCAACGCAAAGCTTCGTCACGAAAGCCGTCATGAAACTTGCAAGGTTCGCACTGCTTGTAGGAATGAGCTGCGTGTAGGCGACATCCACTATCATTGTCAAGTCTCGAAATACACGGCAAGGTGGTCTGCGTGGTGCACCCCATGCCGGCGCTGCAGCCGCTTCTGCTGCTCTTGGCGCCGAGAATGCTTTCGCATTCACAACTCGTAAGAAGGGCTTAGGCGTCCTAGGAATTTTTCGCTCTACTGATATATACCTTTTACTTTTCAAACCAATCAATTGCACTTGTTACACTTTTAGTGACCCTCACACTAAACTCCGGTCACAATATAAAAAAAGAAAAACCAGCATCGATGACGAAGCGAGCGGCAGGCTCAGGCTGCGCGAGCCCAGCCATCATAAATCAGTTTCAAACCTTCTGCTGTCTTGATTGGTTGTATCTGTTCAGCTCCCATAGGCGTAGACTTCGGGAGGGCATCGGGGCTTGTGCCCTTCCTGGTGAGATCTGCCCCCCCCCCCCCCCCGGATCTCACCAGAGGAAATGGAGTCTCGGCTTGCTTTCATTAGCTTCAATCTCCTTCTGGCGACGAGGTAACACACAGCAACCCCCCCCCCCCCCCAGGAGAACTTCTCAGCCTGCACCCCTGCCCCCGCCCCCCTCCCGAGAAAATAGAAAGTCTACGCCACAGTCAGCTCCTACAATCAATAAATCTCCTTGTGGACGATGTATTGATTAGCTGATTGTGTGGTATTTTGCACTAACAGTGCTGAACTGTATACCTATCTATGGTAGCAACACCTACAATGCACCTGAGTATAGCCAAGCAATGATCAACTACATGGGAATCATCAGCTTTACCACGACGAATGTGTCTCTCCGCAGTAGAAAACAAAAAGCACTGTTCTTATATTTCTTGGTTTTTTTAGAACACTTGCTAAATGTACTTCATTTCAAATGCTACTTTCATGTGCCTGTCCCTCTGATATTTCACATAAGGAACAAAAACATGTTGCAGACAAAGGTCAGATATCAACCTTTCCATTCGTATTACCCATACACAACAGGCTTCACTTTTAACGGAGCAAAATTAGCGGAAGCAATTGCAACAGCATGGTTCCTTCACCACAATGCGAAACTATCAAACCACCGAAACTATAAAAAGTCTGCAGACAAGCTGGTCTTACTCCCAGTCTTAGGGTTTCCAACCCTATCAAATAACAAGTGACAATACAAAAATTCACTCTGCCTCAGTGAACAGGGACAGCAGCACTCACACAAACTGCATTTGCAAATGTACAATTTTATTACGAATGAAAAGAATACAGATGATACAAACTCAACACTAGTGCTTAACTAATAAGGCAAAGTTGTGCCTCCAAAAAGAAGAGGTATTATACAGGCTGTGGTGCCGACAAAAAGGCCAATTGCCCGCTGGCTGGAGCATCCCTGGGTTTTGCAGTCGTTGAGAGATCGAGAAATTTCTATTCCAAAACATTCCTGAACTATTGCGGGATAAGCAGACCAGGTCACTTTAGAAATGACTCGACTGGTTGCATATAAAAAGATACATCCCTTGTCAGATTTCAACTCAGTTCAGGGAAATGCAGGGTGAGTATCCAGTCAGCTGAGCTCCACTGAAAGAACCCTCCCAGCAATGGTTAGTGTATCTAATTAAGACTAAAGAGGCCACTTGAACCAGCAATAGCTGTTATAGAGACTTCCCAGCTGCATTTGCGGTGTCGGCATTGCGCCAGGAAGAAAACTCTGTCTCACATGCACTTGTGCATGCACCGCCCCGTGACAACAAAGCATGTGTACTTGGCAACTCTTGCCAGGCAACAGTCTTCTCTACGGTCGGTAGGGGACGCCACCACACATTTCTCACCATGGAACTCAATTTGCATGTATTATCAGATGTAACCACTCGTCGCAATGCCTGCCTCGATTTAGTCTTACGCAGGGATGCTTACTCATGCATGCACTGTGTTTCTTTCAACCATATTTGAGTGACCACAAGGCTGTGTTGTGTGTGATTGAGTATAAATGGAGAGTGGATATGTATAAAAGTGGGTGTTACTATGCACAACAACAGCTAACACTGCCACTTCTTTGTGCACAGTATTGAAAAGCTGCAGATTTGTTTAATCCAAAAACTGGAACAGACGAAAGCGAAGTGGAAAATGTGGATGAAGCAAGTTCGATTCTTCTACCTTATCCTTGGCTTTTTGGTGCTACATTAGCTTTTTCGAAACATGATCCAACCTGCTCCAAATGCTATTCAAATGCAATTACTAATGAAAACTTTTGTAACAGAGAATCAAAAGGCTATGTAGCTCATCCAGTTTAGGAACACTCTAAGCCCCAGTTGCAAGATGGTTGGCTGACATTTTCAATGTATACCTAAAAGGTAATGTAGACTGCATTTCTGAGTCGACGTAAAGTCAAAAATAAAGCGATAATGTATTTTAAAGATTGTGCTGTCAAAATAAAAAAAACAAAAAAAATATAGAAAACTAAATGAAGATTTAAGCAATGATTGTACATTATTTTCTGAGCATCATACTACAGCTAAAATAGGAGAGATCAGGCTTTAGGTATCATTTCTTCACTTCTGTTGTCTTCAGAAA